TTCATAGCGTAAACATTTTTTTTTCTGACGGCCATACATGATCATCGTCAGCAAAAATACTCTTGAGGGGTGGGAGGCTATGGACAAACCCCTCTGGCTATTATGAAAACAATATTTAGCATAGTTGTTTTGTAAATTCCCTCTTTTTTTTATCTTCCGGTAAATAATAATTATTATATTGTATAATGTAACATATAGTGTAATAGTAGCCTCTTAGGTTATTTTTCGTTAAAAAAATGATAAAAGGTCTATAAGCTTGTAGTATGAGTTTTTGTGTATGCTATATTCGTCAATTATTTTCATCAGGTTTGTGCAGGATCAGGAATTCCTGGATCAGGCATTGCTTCGAAGTCCAACTTCCGAAGCATATTAACATCATTATTTAAAAAACATATACAAAAATTTGTCTCAATTGTTGAATAAATGGGCCAGGCCCGATTTAATTCAATTAAATTTCATAGGCCCACAATTAATGTTAGAGACAATAATAACACCTTAAAAATTTAAGTGGAGAGATCTCACCTTAAATAGGGAGACAATTAAGACTTCCTGTTGACCGGTTGAGAAAGGTGGGCAGACTGTGCGCCCCGGCGGGCCAGGCCGTGGCACGAGGCCGAGCGGTAGTTGCTGCTCTCTCTCTCTCATTTTGTAATGTATGGTAATTGATTCTGTGTTACCGTGAACCAGCGGAGGTACGTAATACAAATGCCTCAACCTCCGGAGGTACGTAATACAAATGCCTCAACCTCCACTGCACGTAATACAAATGCCTCAACCTCCGGAGGTACGTAATACAAATGCCTCAACCTCCACTGCACCATTTTTCTGGGTATATGGTTCTATCTCCAATTGATGTCATTTTTCTGGGTATATGGTTCTATCTCCAATTGATGTCCTTCCCGTTATTTACATTTTGATCATGCTATCCTTGGGATTACAATCCTATGTTAATTTATATTATAAAAATCATGCTCATGTTGACTACATCTAGCACTGTCACTAGATCAAATCCCTTTGTGAATATCATGTTTATTATCTTTCTATTTTGGATTAAAATATGCCAAATTATGACCAAATTTCCAGCATCAATAACTACGTTGTGCATATAGCACAACAGAAATCAGTGATATGATTGAGTTGAAGGTTTTATTAATTTTTTAAGAAAGTGGACGTGTCAAATATGAAATGTCTTGATGTATAGTCAGAAATAAAGTTTTTTTAAAAAGGAGACAGTAGCTTGGAGGTATTTTTTTAGGAAGGTCCAGTTACCCTTACCATTGAATTTGTCTAAAACACATCCCTCAATTTTAAAATCAGACATGTTACACCCTCAAGTATCAATGCCATCTAAATTACCTCCTTAAGGTTGTTTTCACCAAATTAGAGTCATTTTCGTTTATGTGACATCAGCAAAAAAATAATATCAAAGAAATCGGAAACCTGCTTGTTAGGGCCTTCTTCTTCCTCCTTCCCCATCTTTCTCTCTTTGGTCCCTTTCTTTGCCCCGTACAAAGCATCTGGATTCCCAGGCAAGGCTCCAAACTCAGAGGCTGGCACCGGCAAGCTCAAGAGAGAGATTTGGGCGAGCTCCGCGCGAGTTCATCTAGGAACAGATTCATCTTGCAACGATGACACTAATGGCGTCATGCAAAGGGCAATCTAGTGCTTCTTTTCTCCGGACCATCTTCGACCAGCATAGTCGCCAGCAAATTCAAGCCTTCTCCCCAAGATCGAGGATAATGTAATCTTGCGCGAGTGGCTCTGGCGATGGTAGGAGCTTTTGGTAGTAGCTGGGATCGAGCACCACCTCTGTTGTTGCACCCCCGAGCACCGGTGAGCTTGATCTTCCCCCACCCTGTCGACCTTCTGAGAGCCGATGAGCTCGAGCTCCTCCTTCACCTTTCCGAGAGCTCGTAAGTTCTAGATCCCCCTCCCTTGTTGCTGTCGCTATGACCTTCCCTCCCACGCTAACCGCCGGTGAGCATGAAATCGTGTCGGCGATATCGAGCTTGAGATCAGCACCGACGCGTGACATGAGCTCGACGGTGGAGCTTGAGTTGCTTGGGGACACTATGTTTGGCAGAGGTGACGGGGCTTAGGGTTGAGGAACTTGAGCTTGACGACATGGCGGAGACAACAAGCTCGTGATTCTTGAAGGTGGTGGTGGTGACCTCCTCGACTTCTTGCTGCTCCATGTATCAACCCATCAGATCCTGCACCGTCACTCACCGCGACATCTCCCCTTCATGCGCCTCACCATGGATGTCGATGGACCACCTTAGAGGAGCGGGGGGAGGGGGTGGGAGCTCGTGGGGGGTGGAGATAGGAAGAGAGGATGCCGGGGACCTAGGGAGGGAGCTTGTCAGCTGCTTATGCTCCTCGGAGAGATTATCTAAAGAGGAAGGATGAAGAAGGAAGGGATGGTCCTGACTGGTGAGACCTTATGCTGACGTGGCATTCAAAACCAATATAACATTGCTCTATGGGGGTAAAATGTCCGGTATTGACGGTTGGAGGGTGTATAATACCTGGTTTTGTAGTTTGGGGGTGGGGTTGTGAAATGGACTTTTCCTTATTTTTTAATAATGAAATTCATTCTGGTATTTAGTTCACAAAAGGTATAACCAATTATTATAGAGGTTGCACGACGAATGATTGCCAATTAAAAAGCCACAACTTGATAAAAAAACATGTAAACTACCTAAAATACCACCTCAAAGACATAAAATTTATATCTATGATTAGTGAGAACCTACATAACTATTGTTTCTTTGCAATGCCATATAAGTTGTATGTAGTCCTTATCTTTCTCAAAATCAGGGACCGACCATTATGAATTGAATAGCGCACACACCTCTCCACTCGTAACTGACGTTGGACCAAAGTGGAAGATGATGTTAGAGAACAACTCAACTATAATCAGTCATTCGCCCAGATCTTGCAACCACCATGTCTATCCAAGCTGATCTAACGAAATCACAATCACCATGTCCATGCAAGCTGATCCAATGAAAACACAATCACCAGTTATGTAACATCAACATGGAACCTCTCCGATGTGATGCCTCAAAGAAGGTAATGACATCTAGGATGTCACAATCGCTATTCCAGCAATCCGGAACTAGGGTTTCACCTAGAGAATTCACCCAAGGCACAAAGACGAAGAACGGGATGTCAGTGCATCGCCTTCACGAAAGCATGGAGCATCTATAGGCATCACCAATGTCGATGTTCCCTCGCCCTAGATCTACGGCGATCTAAGCTCGACCTCCTTGTCGATGTCAAGTGTAGCCACGATAGTGATGGAGGTGGCTGACAACAGGAAAGGGGGATGGAAGGGGATGAGGCACGTGCCTCGGTGGTACATTGTCCCACCATTCGGAGAGGGTGGTGGTAGCGATGGTGGGGAGGGTGAAGGCCTTCCGTAGCCCTGACGGCAATTTTAGTGGGCAACATATTTATGCATTGCTAGAAGCTGTATCCGGGCAGACCCCACCGCCACGTGCGTTTCTCGAGGTATGCATGTTTCTAGCGTTTCCCTCCAACGGTGGCCAGGAAGAAAATTGCATGCGTTATGCGGATCGATCCTCTAAATATGCTAAGGCTTGGAGGTACTCTTTCCATTTCAAAATGTATGATGCCATTGACTTTTCGCATAATGTTTGATCATTCTTCTTATTAAAAATATTATATATAAATATCATTTATTCTGTTGTGACTTTTATATTTTTTTCATATTAAATATTTGATATGGCGAATGGTCAAATGTTTTAAAAAAAGTCAATGGCGCCATACATTTTTCAAAATGAGGTATATTGATGAACAATACATAATTTTTTTAGATAATGGATTATATTAAACCCGGCCTCTACACCTTGTGAGGGTGTACACAGCCTAAAAATCACAAACACGAGTACATAAGACTATCCCGTTACATGGGTAAAGCATAAAAAGTTTTTAAAGACGGACAACAAGCAAGAGGAACTAAAAGCTAAGCTTCAATTCTTCTTCTAAAGTTCCACCCAAAAGTAGAGAAAAGCTCCATCATACGCTTCTCTAAAAGCTTGCATTTCGCGATTACTTCAATGCCTTCGTCTTCCTTAAGAAGCAAAGACCAAAGCCTTGCCAACTGAGTTGCTTTGAAAATTACCTGCAAGAAAGATGCGTGGTTGTAGCCATTAAAGACTAACTCATTCCTACTGAGCCACAAAGCCCAACAAATTGCTGTTATGCCCACCCAAGTTTGTCTTTTAAGTTTAGATTCAAAACCTCTTAACCAAATTCCAAACAAGTGTGAACTATTAATTACGGGGTTGCTTGATTCCAAAAGTAAGATAGATTGCACTCCAAATGTATCTAGCCATTGTGCAATCAAAGAAGAGATGTTGAATTTACTCATTAGAGTTACAAAAGCTACAAAGCAAGCTACCCTTCCATCTTCTTTTAGCAAGATTATCTTTTGTTAGAATCACCCCCTTTCAATATACCAAAGGAAAATTTTAATTTTTCAAGGAATCCTTAGCTTCCAAATTAAAGATTTCCTAGGTATTACACCATTAAACATAAGAGCTTTATACATGGAGTTTGTAAAACAACCCATTTTTATTGCTCTTGCAAAAGAATTGGTCTTGCCTATCATTCAAATTGACACTCACCACATTTGAAGCAATGTTAACTCCATGTTCTTCCAAGTTTTTCTCTATAATTGCTTTTCTAAAAGAAACATTCAAAGGGGTCCTTCTAACACATCGGTCACTATCAAGTTTTTATTTCTAACCAAGTTATACAAGGTTGGAATACGTAATTTATATTGACTAACTTGGTAGACTTTGCAGGTCTAGTTATGAATGTAGTGGGAGGACACATGCATGACAGCTAGATGCATGGCTGAGTATAGTAGTAGTTAATTAGTAGCTCGATGATCGATGATGGATAAGCGGCCGGGCGGCTATATATATATATATGACTGTAGGCCAGCGCGCTGCCAAGGAAGAAGTAGAGATAGATAGGTAGATATGTGGTGGATGGTGTTGAGGGCAGTAGCAGTATCAGGGGCCCTGCTGCTGCTTGTGGTTGTGGGTTCTTCCGCCGCCGGTGCCGGTAGTGGCAGCTGCCAGACAAGGTGCGGCGACGTGGACATCCTGTACCCATTCGGCATCGGCCCCAACTGCTCCCGCGGCGTTGGGTTCGAGATCGAGTGCAATACGAGGAACGGCAGCGGCGACTTGGTGCCGACCCTGGCGGCCACCAGCTTGAGCATCGTGCAGAACCTGTCGGTGGAGTCGCCTCCAATGGCGAAGGTGATGCTGCCGGTGGCATACAAGTGCTACAACGACCCAACAAAAACCCAAGATTTCAACGGCGAGGTAGAGCTGAACAAGACCGGCGTGTACCGCATCTCCGATGAGCTGAACATGCTGGTCGTCCTCGTCTGCAACACCATGGTGTACACCAAGAACGGCAACAGTGAGGGCGGCCTATACCCGTACCTCTACTACACCGGCTGCATCGCCTACTGCAACGACTCTAGGAGCGCACAAGACGGCAAGTGCGCCGGTGCCGGCTGCTGCCATGTCGACATCCCCGGTGGCCTCACCGACAACACCCTCGTCTTCGACTCGTGGAACCGTACCAAGTAGGTAGATTTCAGCCCCTGCGACTACGCCTTCCTCGTGGCCAAGGAGGAGTACGTCTTCCAGAGGTCTGACCTCAATAAGGACCTGAACCGGAACATGCCAGTGTGGCTGGACTGGGCCATCCGCGACGACGACTCGGCCTGTCCTCCGCTGGCGCTGGGGAAGAAACCACCAGCTGCATCGTACGCCTGCGTCAGCGACAACAGCGAGTGCGTCTTCTCCACCAACGGCCCCGGTTACTTCTGCAGGTGCCTCCCAGCCTACCATGGGAACCCTTATGAGTATTACGATGACAAGCAGGGCAAAGATGTCTGGGTACGTACCCATTATATACTCCCTCCATTTCTAAATATTTGATACTGTTAACTTTTTAGCTAGCACATGTTTGACCGTTCGTCTTATTCAAAAACTTTTGTAAAATATGTAAAACTATATGTATATATATAAGTATATTTAACAATAAATCAAATGATAGGACAAGAATTAATAATTACTTAAATTTTTTGAATAAGACGAACGGTGAAATATATTTTAAAAAGTCAACGGCGTCAAATATTTAGAAACGGAGGGAGTATATATGTATATGCAGCCCACAGCAATTTATATTACTAACTCTTAATTAGTACTCCCTCCGTTTAAGGTTATAAAACTTTTAACTTTACTCAAAGACAAACTCCTCTAAATTTAACTAATTTTGTAGAAAAAAATAGTAATATTTTTTATTCCAAGACTAATATATTATAAAAATTTATTCAATTATAGATTTAATGAAACTATGTTGGTGTTATAAATATTACTAATTTTTTTTTATAATTAGTTAATCTTAGAATAATTAAGTTAAAACGTATTATAACCTGTCTGAAACGGATGAATTATATATACTACCATGCATATGTGTGCAGACATCAACGAGTGCCTAGCGCCCGAGCGGTATCACTGTAACGGAGTATGCAACAACATCCCAGGCAATGACACGTGTCATTGCCACGCAGGTTACCAGTCTAATGATGCAAAGACACAACAGTGCACTCCTAAGTTCCCCGTTGCATCAAGAATTGCACTTGGTACGTCCATATATACGTATTGCATCTCTATTAATTATTAGTTCCACATTTATTAATTTGTTAGTTTCAAGCTTATATTTTATATTAAAGTAAATTTCACAAAACTACATGTATTTTGACCAAGTTATCACAAAAATATGCATATTTAATATTAAACTTATCATAAAACTACAACTTTTGGAGTTTAAATCCCTAGCACCATTGTTATGGTGGAGTTATAAACATTATTACTTTGTGATTAAATTGGTTCTAAACCTATAGTTTTATGATAATTTAGTTGCTAAACGTGTAGTTTTGTGACACTTCATCTTAAATGTGTAGTTTTGTGATAAATTTGATGTTAAATGTGTAGTTTTGTGATACACCAAGTTAAATCTGTAGTTTTATGATAGTTTGGTCATAGTATATGTGGTTTTGTGAAATTTACTCTTTATATAATTAAGCACCTACAAAATGAATTATTAGCTAACTAGGTCAATGGGTGTTTATTTGAAACTTTACAAAATATATACACTTTAAGCAAAACTCATAAATATAAAAGGGATTATAAGGTGCTAATCCATGATTCATCATTGCACAAAAGGATCGATTGTACGTAGTAAATCCAGACTTAATTAATTAGCTCTGTCCTAACCATCAACTTCCATGAGGAAACCAAGAGAATAACTTTATAAGAACGAGTACAATATGTAAATGGACTGTACAAATTACTACATCATATTTATATGAGAGAGAGAAAAAACGGGTTACAGATTTATAGCCAGCTACAGTGATGACTCTAATAAACCATATGAGAGATGAGTGGATTAGGTATTAATAATGTAATATATATTGATATTAGATATTGACTATATATGATAGTTTATTTTTTTAACTAGTAGTTGGCTATATTATTAAACTTGCTATAAGATTAAATTGTATTTTTTTCAAATATTCCAAGCAATAACTGAGGTAACTTTCATAATTAAAGCATGTTACTGTTACACGACAAAAGTGTTTGGACTAGCGTCCACGTAACACATAGTAGATTACAGCATCCTATATATATGATCATTTTATTTCTACGAAACCAAAGCATTCATACTAATTTACACTGGTGGAGAAAGGGGCTTTATTCCCGGGTGGGAACCCCCTATACTCCTGGTTATCCGGGACTAAAGATGCCCATCTTTAGTCTCGGGTGAAATAACCGGGACTAAAGATGGTGAGAGCAGTCCCGGTTGTTTTTTTTTTCTCAAATCGATCTGCTCCCTAAATATCCTCAATCATATCCTCAAATCATCTAAAGAGAAAACTAGCATCACAGATCTAGAAAGAAATGCATCACAGATTCTCAAACAAAAAATACATCACAAATCCTAAAAGAAATACACCACAACTCAAATATATCCCAGATCAAATCCAATATCACATACATCACAGATCAAATCCAATCCAATATCACATACATCACAGATCAAATCTAATGAATCACAAATTAAAAAAAATCCGGCAGCAGAGGGGAGGGTGCCGCCGGCCTCCCGTCCTCTCGCCTCCGCGCCAGCATGGCCGCCGCCGCTTCCGCACGGCCGGCCGCCTCGCCCGGCCGTCGCCGCTCCTGCCTGGCCGCCCGCCCGCCCGCCCCGCCCGCCGCGCTCGCCCGGCCGGCCATCGCCACTCCCGCCCAGGCGCTCGCCCGCCCGGCCGTCGCCGCTCCCGCCTGGCTGGCCGCCCGCCGCGCTTGCCCGGCCAGCCGCCCGCCCAGCCGCCGCCGCTCCCGCCCGGCCGGCGCTCCAGAGAGGGGAAAGGGGCGAACGGGAAAGGAAGGGGAAGGGGAGAGGAAGGATCAGATGGGAAATGAAGGGGAGAGGAAGGGATGGAGAGGAAATATTAATGAGAGGAGATCGAGAGGAGAGCGGATAAAGATGGCGCGCGTGGCTCGAGGTGCTCTTTCCTCCCGGTTGGTATAAACAACCGGGACTAAAAATAGATCTTTAGTCCTAGTTGTTTATACCAACCAGGAGTAAAAATAGTTGGGGTCTGTCTTGAGCCCGACAATTTCTTGAACCGGGAGTAAAAATAATTTTTAGTACCCCTCAACCTAAAGATCAAAAAAGTACCCCTCAACTTTTAAACCGGGACTAAAGATGCTTTTTAGTCCCGGTTTTTATTAGAACCGGGATTATTGTGAAATTTGGCTGACCGACCAAAGATGATTTCTCCACCGGTGTCAGTCTTTAAAAATTATTAAAATTAAACTAGTCATCATCAACCTATGCAAGCATGGGGTTTTACCCTTTTGTTTTTGTGTTAGCCATAATGAATTATGTTTTGAAGGATATTCCCTCCATTGTATAATATAAGTTATATTGAATTTATTATAAGTCAAACTTCTTATTTAAGTTTGACCTAGTTTACATAAATATATAGGAACAATTTTAATACAAAATATATACACTATGAAAATATAATCAATGATGGATTTAATAAAACTAATTAATTTGATGTAATATATGTCAGTATTTTTTTTATAAATTTAATCTAACTGGAAGATGTTCGACCTGTGACAAACCCAAGGTGAGTAATAACACTAGTACATATCCTTCTATATGTGACGGGCTCTAATATGCTTAGAAATAGCGGACCGTCACAAGGAAGTCATCTTAATCGGGCCGAAAAGTGCCCGATTTAGATATGGTCACACAGACATGTTAGATGGGTATAAAACTTAAGCCCATCACGGATGACACCTATCAGTGACGGGCCACAACTTTAGACCAGATTGAGATAACATTCCATATCTCAAACGGGCCTAAAGTTGTGGCCCGTTACAGATGACCATCATCTGTGACGGGCCACAACTTTAGGCCCGTTTGAGATAACATTCCATATCTCAAACGGGCCTCAAGTTGTGGCCTGTCACAAATGACCATCATCTGTGACGTGCACCAACTTGAGGCCCGTTTGAGATAACAACTAGGCCCGTCACAGATGACTCATCAGTGACGGGCTATATACTTAATCTCTATCGGGTATTAACTAAAGCCCGTCACCGATGACTATTTTTCCATTTTTCATATGAAATGGAAAAATAATTTTACTATAGCAAAATAATTTTACGGGTAGTAAATGATTACAAATGGAAAAAATGTCAACAACAAAGTTGTATAACTTATCAATATTTACAACTTTTAGTTTGGTCATTTTTCAATATAACATTTTTTTTGAACAATTTGAATTTGAATTTAAAAATATGACAACTTCAAACAACATTTTCAAATACTAAATGATTTCAATTGAAAAAGTCATCAACAACAAAGTTGAATAACTCATCAAGATCTAAAACTTTTATTTTTGTTATTTCTTCATCTGACAAAATGTTAGTAATATTATTCACAAATTTTACATATATGTGTTATAGTTTATAAAACCAGATAAGAGATATGTTAATTTTGTTAACAATGTTACTATCACTTTGTCGCATGAAGAAATGACCTAAATAAAAGTTTTAGATCTTGATGAGTTATTCAACTTTGTTGTTGATGACTTTTTCAGTTGATATCATTTAGTATTTGAAAATGTTGTTTGAATTTGTCATATTTTTAAATTTAAATTCAAACGGTTCAAAAAATGTTATATAGAAAAATGACCAAAATAAAAGTTATAGATTTTTATGATTTATACAACTTTATTGTTGATGACTTTTTCAGTTGAAGTCGTTCACTGATCTAAAATTCTATTTGAACTTTTTAAACTTTGAATTTCAAATTTCAAATTGTTTAAATAGAGTCAGATGGAGAAATGACCAAAATAAAAATTTTGCACCTCAATGAGTTCTACAACTTTGGTTTTGGTGACTTTTCCATTTGAAATCATTTAATAACCCCAATTTGACATCCTGGCCTAGGGCATAATAGGATTAATAGAATACTCGTACCAACATGTTACAATTACTTTTCCGGTTGAACTTCTCGCGTGAGGGCTAGCCAAAAAAATAAAATTTATTTATTTTTGGAATATACTCATCTGTGACGGGCATTAACTCTAGCATAAGTTAATGCCCGTCACAGATAAGGGTCATCCGTGACGGCCGTTTGCCCGATTGAGATAGCTCTTCACATCAGTGACTTCTAGCCTGTGACGGACGCCATGCCCGATTGAGATGGGGCTTACCGCCCGATTGAGATGAGGGTATCCGTTCTAGTGTAATATGAAACGGAGCAAGTAAGTATTAGTTCTCGTGTAAAAGTTGGTAAAAAAATGAAGCTAGCTAACCATAGATGCTTGTGCCGTTTACCTAAAAAATTTTCCATGCACAGACTACCAATACAAATTGATGGTTTGATGCATCAAACGCAAATGCATATCACTAGCAAAAGTTAGGCCTCGATCGATATAAAAGCTTCTGGTGCTGATCACTTTGCATAGAGTACATCTCAAAAAGCTACAACTATTTTATCAAAACTAATAGTTTTTTTCTACAAACTTGAATTAGGCATTTCGGAGAACTACAACAGTATTAAAGTATGTTATCAGGAAGTTGCAATTTTATATGTTTGGACTAATTTGGACCCACCTGTCACACAAAGATGCATTACTTATGTTGTTGCTAGGATAATATTTAAAAAAAGACCCGCACAAAATAGTGCAAAGTTTTGTATTGATATAGCAGAAAAAAATACAAGTTTATAGCCTTGGAAGTCTATAGCTAGGAAAAGAAAAACAACACATCACGCTTACAACCGGAAACCCACTATTGAAGAACAAATAGGTACATGGCTCCCCTATGGAAAGAGAACCTCAAACGATGCCTCCATGGAGGATACGACGCCGAGAATGCCACCATCATCACCCGTCCTGCGACAGGACGTGGTTTTCACCTGAAGAAATCCATTAGAGGGAGGGAGTAGGAGAGATTCTGCAACAATGCACCAAGGGAAAGCAGCACCCGCAAGCGTTGCTGTTGTCGACCCAAATAGGCTAGCTTTTACCCGTAATCTTCCAACCGCCATGCCAAAATTGCACCTATTCGCATCAGCAACCACCACCAACTGAGCACCTTCAATGCACAACCACCATGCCAATGCCTCACCCCCAGCCGGCCATCAAGTAGGAGCTCGACGTCTGGCACACCCAATCTCCATCCACACAATTGGGTTGGCGAGGGCGAGGGTGAGAGATAATAATGGATCCCCTCTCCCCCGCACTAGCCAGCTAGCATGGCCATCTTATGGCGGCAAGGCACTACCACAAGAGGACTAGCATCTAGATGAGAGTCCGCCGCAAGCCTGCACCCCCACCTCACGCCGCCGCCATAGCCACCTTGGCCAAGCCCACATCACCGCCACCATAGGCCACCCGATTTCACCGCCATCGCCTTGCCCTGAAATCGGCTGCCGTCACTAGATCATGCGGCCGCACCTCGCCAGCAGCACCATTCCATCGGTCGTAGCCGCGTCTCGCAGCCACCGGTAATCACTGCGTCATCGTCCTCCCATCACTGGCTGCGCTGCTTGGCACTGGCTGTGCTGCTTGGCACCTCCACAGCTACGCACCACCTCACCATCTCCACGGCCTTACTTTGCTTCGCCACTCATGCCACCACCCACTCCCCTGCTAAACCCCGACGAAAGCCGCCACCTGATCTGGCCATGAAGGTAAGGATCTAGCCACGGTTGTGACGGATTCGGTTGCACCTACCGGATCTAGCCGTCGCCTGATCGCCACGAGCCGCCTCACGCCGTCGCCTGGCCACATTGCGTCTTCGCCCTTTGTCCATCCCTGCACCACTGCACTGCAACGCCACGCTGGGTCGCGGCGCTGTGCCACCTGTAACAGCCCTCCCTCCAGAACCGCGTAGCCCAGCCCAACCAACGAGCGGGCCCACTTACACACACCACCCCACTTACACTTTCGTCCTCGCTTCGTGTAAAAGGGTTAACCCGGGAGTGATGTCGTTGGAGGGAAGAGGCCTTATAAGTCGGTTCCACTCGTGCTAAACTAGCAAGGTGGTACTAAACATGCGCACATAGCTCACATGGGCCACACAGGCCTAATCCTTATTGGGCCGGGATGTCACACCACCTCTCTCACATGAGTGGTGGCTCGCCGCTGGGAAAGATTCCCTATTGCCGTCATCCCGGCTCGCTCCGTCGGCGGTGAGTTGAAGATGGGTCTGGGGGATATGGGTGGGGCGGCGGCTAGGGCTTTCACCCCGAGCTGCCCGCGCGGGAGGGCAACACAGGGGCGTAGTTTGCTAGGGATAATATAATCCAAGGCGGCGTTGATTTTTTTTGGAGAAATATTGAATCATTTGATTATAGAAATATTTGTTGATGTTAATAGGATGCACTCGTAGAAGTTACCCATTATTACGTAAGAACTAAAATTTTCATATTAATTGGAGAGAAAATTCAACAATAATCCATCTTTGTGAAGTATCTTAAAATCCTATGAAAAGGAGAGAATTCCTATACTTTCAAAAGGAAAAAGAAAGGAGGTTTGAATTCTCCTCCACTTTGTTAGGTGTGTTTGTATCTATCTCTCTCCCCTAACATATTCATGTGATCTAATAACTCAAGTTTCACAAACTGTATGTTGAAATTTCTTAGTTTTTCACGTGTTTTTCCTATTTCTGCGTTTTTTGTTCCTTTGTTCCAAAAGAGTTGGAATAAAATTGAATACCCACAAAAGGAAAGCCCAATTTATTGGATTAGCATGACAATAAATCCAATTCGTAAACAAATCTAATCCCTAACATCCATGCATAACACGCATTAAAAATATGTATTAGTCCATATTTATGTTTGAATTAATACCCAAATTGAATTCCATGTTGAGATCTAGCTCCTAAATTTAAGTAGTTATTCTAAGAGAGTTTGCAATTGAATTCTACTTTGAGATCTTTTTCCCTGTTAAGGTGAGAATTTCTAGTATTTTCTTTTTCCAGATTATAGTGTGGGAATTTTTAGTTTTCGTATGCCCTAAATTTAGCTTTTTTAACCTTTAGAATCATCAGTAACTAAACCAAAATGGTAATAACAATTGACATGAATTTGTTTTCTTTGTAGGTGTCTGCTTGGGTTTTTCCTTCCTGATTGTCACTTTTCTTATCACACTTGTGATGTTTCAAAAGCAGAAAATGAATGAATATTTCAAAAAGAATGGTGGTTCAATACTACAGAAAGTGGACAATGTCAAGATTTTTTCCAAAGATGAGCTAAAAAAGATCACAAAGAACAATTCAGAGGTTCTTGGTCAAGGAGGCTTTGGTAAGGTATACAAGGGGACTCTTGGAGATAATACTATTGTCGCTGTGAAGACCTCAATTGAGGTAAATGAAGCACGAAAGGATGATTTCACAAATGAGGTAATTATTCAGTCGCAAATGATGCACAACAACATTATCAAACTTTTGGGTTGTTGCTTGGAGGTGGATGTTCCGATGTTGGTATATGAATTTGCGGCTAATGGCAATCTGCAAGATATTCTCCATGGTGATGGCAATATCCCTCTACCATTACACTTACGCCTAGACATTGCAATTGAATCTGCCGAAGGTCTAAGATACATGCACTCCTCAACTAATCGTACCATACGACATGGCGATGTCAAACCAGCCAACATACTTCTAACGGATAAGTTCATCCCTAAGATATCAGACATTGGAACTTCCAAGCTTCTTACTGTAGACAAAGACTTTACCATGTTTGTGGTAGGAAGCATGGGCTACATAGACCCAGTGTTCCATAAGACTGGTCATTTAACACAGAAGAGTGATGTGTATAGCTTTGGAGTTGTACTACTTGAACTCATAAGTAGAAAGCCAACAATATATGGTGAAAATTGTAGCCTGATCATTGAGTTCCAGCAGTCCTACGATAAAGAGAATAGTGGGAGAATGATGTTCGACAAGGATATTGAAATTGAAGAAGACATCCTCATCCTTGAAGAAATTGGCAGGCTGGCAATGGAGTGTTTGAAAGAAAAGGTTGAAGAACGACCTGATATGAAGGAGGTAGCAGAACGACTAGTGATGCTGCGAAGATCTAGGAAGGGTGGGCAAGGAAGTTATAGTATAAGCCCTCAAAACTTTGAGGAGATCAGCATCGAGGGGACTCCTAAGAGCTTTGGTGCTGAAATCAGTGAAAGTAGCAATGCGGCGGTTTCTGCACCAGCCACTCCAGCCAACTAAGAACTTTCCAATATCTGAATCAAGAACAATGAGAGAAAAGTTAAAATTAAGAATATATATATATATATATATATATATATATATATATATATATATATATATATATATATATATTCTATCAATGTCATTTTATTAATTTGGAGTAAATTTGTGTATTCAAACATTTGTATCCAACTTATGTTTTCTATAACTAGCACAATGCCCGTGCGTTGCAACGGATTCTAAATAACATTCATCGATATAAATTAAAATTCTAAGCCACATTTTACAATTGGACTGAAAGAAATATGGTTAAATTAAAATACTAAACTATATATCACAATTGGACCGAAGGAAATATAATCATATAATAACAACATAAAACTACAAATAACTTTGGCCCGAATGATAATTAAAAAATTTTAATATTTTTTAATAGATCAAATAGTGCTCAAATTAATATTGTAAATGAAAAAACAACTGAAATTAGCTAAAAAATTTTTAAAAAAACTTATTTCAGCCCATATATGCAAATCCGATCTATGCATTAATTATGAACATATACCCGTTCATTGAGATAAATTAGAATTTTTCTGTTATATTCATATTCATATTGTTTAAATATTATGTGAGCGGTCCAGGAGCATGGTTAGGCTAGGCCAGGAAGGAATAGTGCCTTCGTCCATAGATGGTGGAGGTTGGTAACAAAGAAAATCAGATCAACATGAATGCGGTTGGCAATGACGTGGTACTGATAGAGGGAGGGTAACGGCAAGCTCTGGGGATGAACACGATTGGATGTAGGGGTTACTTTTTCCTTGAACGCGTAGGAAGAACGAAAGATGAAGAAACAAACGACTAACACTGTCATCGTCTTCCCTAGCCGAAACAAGAAACAAAAGAGAAAGGAAGATGGGCGCCGATTCTCTGGTGACCAAACAGCGGCAAGTAAGTTGGCCAGACGTGTCCCACAATATGACTCATCTATAGATGGTGGCGGTTGGCAATGAAGAAAACCTGAATAGCAGGAACAACAATGACGTGGTCCCGACACAGAGAGAAATGACAACGACGAGCTCTGGTGGTGAACGCACAATGAAGAAAACCAGAATAGCAAGAACAACAACGACATGGTCCGACGGAGAGAGAAACGACAATGACGAACTCTGGTGGTGAACCCGGGCGGGTGAGTGCATCAAAACGCGTTCTCAGACGAGGGGATTCCATTTTCTTTGAACACGCAAGAGGGAGGGAATGCAGGGGAGAAGAGGGGCACTGGGAAGAGCAATGAAGAAAACCAAAATAGTAGGAACAACAACGACATGGTCCCGACGGAGAGAGAAACAACAATGACGAGCTCTGGTGGTGAACGTGCGCAAGTGAGTGCGTCAAAACGCATTCCCAGACGAGGCGGTTCCGTTTTCGTCGAACGCGCAGGAGGGAAGGAACGCAGGGGAGAGGAGGTGCGACGGGGAGGAGGGGGCCAAAGAGGAAAAGGGTTGTGAGGGGGAGAAGGTCTGCGGGTGAAGGGGGAGGGCACACAACGGGGGTAGATCGGACGATTTTTTGGATCACGAGGGAGAGAGATGGAGGCCACCAGGAGGAGGGAGCGGGGAGCGGGGATCGGGAGGAGGAGGCGGAAGCGCAGCAAGAGAGGGAGTCGCGGGAGGGGGACGGACGAAAGGGGCACACAGAAACCTTGCATATTTTTTAATTAGGTATAGATTTGAAGCAACATGTATTGTTGTGCTGTTGAAAACATATCTTGTTCTTTATTGTTGTGCACTAGTATATTGCACCATATGAACAATGATCTATATCTACTAAAGTTTACTTTTTATATATTACGGTAAACCTGCATACTAATATTTACCAATACCAATGGAAATGGTTAGTAATAAACCCCTACCACTAAGTTTGATAATATATTTTGTATTCTTTTATGCAGGAGTTCGGTTAAAGTTTGCACTTAACGACTGTCAACAACACCGCAACACTTATCCTTTACTTGTCCCTGAGTAAAGCTCATTGAATTCAATAGAGCAAAAGCTTCATGTATAATGATGCAAACATAGAAAGTATTCCAAGCTATACTTGTACCTATGAACTTTTGAAGTGTCTTCCATATCATTTTCGGTGTTGAAGAATGGATTGACCTTGATTCAAATCGCCTTTACCTTCTGTTGGTACTCCCTCCATTCCATAATATAAGGCACAACCACTTTTCTTAGATGTTCCATAATATCAGGCATACATGCAAGCATGCAATTAACTATGACATCTTCTCCATTAAATTATTACTTTTTTAAATCCTCCACTCTCATGTTATCTAATCCTATTTTTACATGCATTAGTATTTATTAGGATGATCCAAACTACAAGATAATAATAATTATTTCTTGGTCTTTGGATTAAGGGTGGTTGTGCCTTATGTTTTGGAATGGAGGGAGTATTTCATAACGACATTACTAGAAATATAATTCCCGACAATGACGCAGAAATACTTCTGGTGTATTATGGTTACAGAGTTCATCCGCAAGCGCACGGATATACCATTATAGCATTTCACCCGAGAGTATTCTAAGGGTATCGTATTTTTTTAATCACGTGGGAAGATTATAATAGAGATAACCATACTAATAATTTATATATTACTTGTAATAATCAAAGTCTAAACAAGGGTTAATGTAATCCAAAGGGTAGAGTGACACGAAGCAAAAACATTAATACTCTCATACATAATTATCTAAGCTAAGTGGAAAAAAAATAGAAAGAACTTATTCCTATACTTCAAGTATATATACATATTATACATGCATCCTAGTTATATGATTACTTAGCTAAGACCCTCTTTCTAATGCCCTCCTGGTGCTTCGAGAAGCCACCCCTGATTGCCGAGTTTTTAACGACAGTCCGTCATGACCATCCAACTGGGGCTAAATACAGAGGAGTATCCTCCCCAGGAAAGTAAGTTAGGACTATATACACGCGCGGAGGAATACCTGTACTGAGCTATCACCAATAGCGGCCCACCTCGCTTCCGCATCATATAACCCCAAATAATGATATCCAGTAATCTAAACACCACGCTTAAATTACCAAATACTACTCTAATATCATCGTCATGACATAGAGCCATCGTATACACGATCATTATACCCACGCCATTGCATTACCCAGATAAGCTAGCATTGTAACCAAGATAATTTGGATATACAATAAAGTTGGTATTCATATACTCAGAAAGTAATATAATACTAGAGTAGTATAAAGAAGAATATTCTAATAAAAGTACAAGTCTTACAAAAGAGAGCGGAGCTACTAGAGCCATACCCGAATCATTCCGAAGACTTCCCGGACTGAGATTCCTATTCTATTCATACTCCACTTGCTTGAGAACACTACTAAACTAATAAGAGAGCTTGATTCTTCTTGCTTGAGGTGTGTGTTGAAATGGACAGAGTGAGGTCTTTATATAGCCTTGTAATGATGGTTATGGCGGTTGGAAAGGTCGGTAATATCCTCCAACCGCCATAGGGGAGCCATCCACACCGTCCAGCGCCAACCCTGGATCCAGCGGCTGCACGGCAGGTTCAGTCGAACCCAGGGGTTCAGCCGAACCCTGGGCTGGGCCAAACCAGCCCAATCTCGGTTGGCGGCCTCCTCGTTTGCTCCTCTCCGCAGACTTGTGAATTTTGGGCTTGTTGGGTCTTGTCGATTTGGTGTTCTCGACCCATTTGTCCGCAAGTCTGATTCTTGACCGTGTCTGATTGATCGATCTTCTATTTTGCTGCCGATTCTCCTCCATTTATGTTTATCCTCTGCAAGAGGTTAGCATTCCTAGTGCTAGTGGAATATATATTATTTTTACATGAATATGCATTGCAAGCATAACTAGTTCTCTCTTATTTTGGTAATATTGACGGGCGAAACTGATCGATAACAACCGTCAACACCTTCCTCTAATGAATTACCTCGGGATTTTTTCACCCATAAAATATAACTTTACTTATATACTCCTCAGTTGATTCTCTCGTATCACTCATTGTGTTTAATCCTAACTAAGGCATTATTGTTGTCTTTTCTTATCATATCTTTCTAATAAGGCTTATGTGGAGCTTAGGGTAGCGAATAAGAATGACATACTTGCATTAAGCTTTTGCACATGTGTGTGAAAAAGAATATGTATGTGAAATAATGGGAAAATGGAATGATGACTCATTTTTGTATGATAGGAGGATGTAGAATCATAATCATGTGGAATCTTTATTTGGTGGATGTTGACTTTTGGTATAGAAGTATAGCATGTGATGGTGGATGGAATATTTTACTAAACCTCTAATGTAGAGGGAGAGCAATATATGGTAGATGTGCACAAGATCTTTGATCATGAAAACGGTGAAGAGAACCTAACAAGGGTCTAAACCATTTGACCAAGCTCAAAATGATACAAGCAACATATCTATAAGGTTTATCAATAAGATCGACATTTGGCTTTGTTAAAAGTAAAAGATCAATGAGAAGTAGTAGGTAAAGTTATATTGTTTCTTTTTATAAAATTTCCAAGGATTCAATAGAAGAAAGCAAGGGTCATATTATCAATCTCTTATTTATGAATCACTTAGATGATATGTGTTCTTAATTATGATATATGTTCAAAAGCACAAGATAAAATGCAATTAATAGATAGTATGCAAGATATTAGCAGGCAAGTCACATACTCTAGCTGAAATATCCAAGCTCATTTTAAAAGTTAAGTTTAATTTTCAGGTACGTTCATGACAAGAGTCTTCAACCTCAAATTTAGTGAGGAGAGGATAAACATGCAAACCATTGTATAGTGAATGTGGAGACGAGCAACCGTTGTGTCATGGATGCTACGTCTCGTCTCGTGAATGTGCAAGCATCATGTTGTAGCACAAACATGGGTGATGTTGGTATGCGGGTGTATATTGCGAATGCAATATCACCTCACACTTGTTCTTGTACCTAGGTTGCTTCAAAGACATAAAAGACAGTGAAAGCAAATGAACTTAACTGGTGGGTCTTTTATTAATGTTGAGTCTTTTATTCATCTTTATTGACAGGCGCAATTGCATGTAACGAGTAAAAAAATTAGAGGAAATAAAATAACTAGATACCAGGGAAAGCTCATGGGCTATGTACATGAAAAAGATATTCCTCCCCTACAGCTTGTACAAGCGTTTAAGCTTGGCATAAAGACCACGGCGGAGGGAAACATGGTTAGACATACAAGCGGATGACCCACGAGCTCATTTATAGATCAAATAAGTCGTGATCCGTGGGTGTTCGTATCTTGGCCTGGCTTGCCCCATCTAGATATGCACGTGGATGGGTCAACCCATAAACCTATTTACAAGTTAAATTAGTAGGTAATCCGCCGCCACTGCCTCCGCCAGCCCAAGTAGAAGGAGGAGAAAGGGAATACCAGCAACGGTCCCCTTGTGGTGGCGCAATGGCAGCGACGGCCACGCGGGGGCGCGTTGGCACGACGATAGTGCAGGGTAGGGGAAGAGGTGGGAGGCGGCCGGATAAGGATTGGGGGAGCGGCCAGATAAGAATTGGGAGAAGAATATATGTCTGGCTATTTTTCGAAAAAACCCTTGTGTTTTCCATGTTTACAGCGCTACCCCTAAAAGCGGAGTTTTCTCTTCTTTGCGTTGTATTTGTCTGAAACATGAGGGTTTTTTCATAAGAAAAACCATCAGCAAGTCAGGACATGCGAATTATTCACAAACTGGAGGACTTTTTTGCAAAATTTCCCGAGGAAGTTCACAGCCGAGGAGTTCTAATACGTGTGCGTCGACAGAGGGGAAATTTTTTTTGAAGAAACGGACATAATTGGAGCCCTACGTGCTTTGATTATGTTATGATTACACTAGATGCAAATAGTTAATACTCCCTCCGTTCCATAATATAAGAGATTTTAAGTTTTTCTTACATATTTGATCATTCGTCTTATTAAAAAAAATTTAGAATTATTATTTATTTTCTTTGTGACTTACTTTATTATCCAAAATACTTTAAGCATAATTTTTTTTTTATATTTGCACAAATTTTTTGAATAAGATGAGTAGTCAAACATTACAAGAAAAAAAATTAAAATCCTATTATGGGACGGAGGGAGTAGTAGTATAAAGGACTAATTCTTCTGTACCAACATCCTGTTTTTTAGAACGATACCAACATCTTACAACTCTGCCTCTACACCTTGCAAACATACAAGTAGACGACAGCCTCCATCCGACCAAACAAACAATTCAGGCACAGTTTTGCAGGGCAAATGAGACTGCAATTCTGCATCAACTCTTTCATGTCCATGGTCATGCTGTATCGGTGCACTATTCTAAACTGCATCTTGCAACATGCACCCCAGTCACTAGGATGAAAAATATTCAAGGCTCTCCAGTTCAAAGCAAATTTGGCTTGTAGCTATCACTATCGGTACAAGATGAGACAACCGACCGGAGAATAATAAAAAAAACTATGATGCAGTTGAAGATAGACAGACAGCTTGCTGGGTTAACAGTACCTGCATTCGCGTCTTTGCATGTACGCGAGCGCAAAACAGAACAAAATAGCAACAGTGAAGAGTCTTCCTCATGACAACCAAAAAAATATATATTTACATTATTTCATCGCCTACTTTCAACATTGTACAAACACACATGAAAATTCTACAAGTTTTAGTCTGTTTAAAGTACACATGTACATCGCAGCACTGCTTCTCTGCTCACTGTTTTCTTACACTATATCGAGCCCAAGGGACACAAACTTTCCCACAATCATGCACATATATCATTCTTTCTGGTGCACAATGGGAATTCGCAGTCTCTCATAGGTCCAGCGGAGGGGTTTCCTGTTACATAGCGTGATCATATTGTAAGCTAGATATACTCAACTTGAACTATTCTGTCAAGTGGATTGCATTCAAAATTGAGAAACTAGCCCACTTATTATTCAGCCAATATAACTTATGTTTTGAAGGTCTACATTTATTCCACACATGGAACCATGAAAATGAAGGATGTCCATGAAAACATCCTCTAGATGTATGGACTAACGTAACCAAATTAATTTCATCAAAGCACATAGACGATAATTGCGACAAATAAAAATAACCAAGAAAATGAAACTAGTTATCAACAACTTTACACGTGGACTATATTGTTTGACAACAGCCAATACTCGGTAATCTGTGACTAAAAAATAAGCAGGAAAATGAAAATAGTTATCAACAATTTTAGACATTTCAGTTCAAAAAAATAATTTTAGACATCAAAACAATCATATCATTTGCAAGTAGTGATGGTTTTCACCTTGTGTAGCAGGTCATGTGCAATGTAGTCCCAAGGAAGAGATACCGACATCAAGCAACATTTCAGAGGCAGAAGCTCATGATCAAATCGTTTGTTGGTAGATGCAGCCTCGTAGGCATGCTTTGCCAGCTTTGATGCAGCAGAAGCTGCCCTATGAACAAAGACTCGAAAGCTATCTCCTGGATCTTTCTTTGATCTCTCATGGCTCTGATCTAATAAAAGACAATCATTTCCATGTCAGAGTTTGACGGATCAACAACTTGCATCATCACAGCTACGGTAATCCAAGACATGAATGTGCATGTTGGGGGGTTGTACAGAAAGGATATTTGTAAGCACTTTAATATTGTATCATTTAACATAGCAAATGCTAAATGCAAACGCATTGCAACAAAAAGTGGCCACTGGTAGAACAATCAACAGTAATAAAGATATGAGAGTAGTTTACCATAGTCAGATGTGCATCACGATTTTATCTGAGCCCCAAATCCTACTCATTACAGTAAATGCATGTAACAGCGAGATAACTTGAAGCTTGTGAAACATATTCCAGAGTCAACCCACGCAGTAAATCGCTACTTAGGCTAAACATAACTGACCTGCAATTCCAGAAACAGCTACTTCAACTTCCCCACGTCCTTCAGGGCCCCTCATATAAAGTTTATCAAGTTTAGTTTGGTCATGCCCGAGTGAGAGTAAGCTCCCAAATTGTGATCTGCCAGCTATAACAGAGTACATATCAGGAAATGTAAACCTAGAAGGAATGAAATGGTAGGTACCTACTAATTTATATTTTTTAAAAAGGAAATCCTCTAGTTGAGCAAAGTGTTGATGCAGTTAAAAGCAGTGTCATAAAAAACACATGATTCTATTGAGTTTAGCTTTGGAAGAAAAAAATGACAGAAAGATAAATACTTAATAGGTTTCTCGAACATGACAATAGTTTCCAGGCAGATAAAGTTGAAAGGACATAAGTACTTTATAAGACCATCTGAACAATAGTTTCCTTGGAGATAAATAGATGGATGGACTCACCATTGTAGGCTTCTCGAACATTTTGGTAGCTAACGTAGCCTGAGAAGAGTGTTCTCTGCAATAATCACAGTAAGCGCAATGTAGGTGAGAAATGAACTATGATATACTTCATACAGTTGTGTTACAGAAGCGGATATCTGCTAAAGTGTAACTATGTTTTAAGCAAGAGTGATGCCAGTAGGAAGAAAACCAGGACGTATCTACTTTAAAAATTATTATATATCTATAGCAGCAGAAAAGGTTGAGGTGCAAAATGAATATTACTTACTGTGACACTGATAGTATGGGGTCTGAACTCTCAAATTGTTGTGAGTGTGAACACAATAATTTCCCGGTTGTCAACAACAAAAGTTCAACTACAAGAGGCTCCCATCGGTTGCCCATTTTGCCTAATAAGCCAAAATGGCTTATTAGAAAATAAAAATTAATTTATAAGTAAAACTTTTATAGATTTGTTCGTAGCGACTTAAAAGCCAACACTAACAAAAATTATGTTAAAAGCATCTCAAAATCAACTTCAAAATCAAGTTCAAAAATTCAAATTTTGGCTTATTCTTTGGCTGTTTAGGCCAAACGATGGGGCTCAGATACTCCCTCCGTTTCACAATGTAAGTCATTCTAGCATTTTCCACATTCATATTGATGTTAATGAATCTAAACATATATATATATCTAGATTCATTAACATCAATTTGAATGTGGAAAATGCTAGAATGACTTACATTGTGAAACGGAGGAAGTATATCTTACGGTTTTAAATACATGATCACAGTTTCACAGATAAGATGGATTTGACATTCAATTACTAATTAAAACAAGAAATTACTGCAGATTAACTATACATAAGTCTTTCAAAAACAGATTAAAACTTCTGATCTTTAATTGCAACAGTGATAAAGAATATACTCCCTACGTCCCAAAATATAGCCACCTTTAGAGTGTTGCACAGGTATTAAGGAAATACATAGAATTAAATGGAGGATAGTTGTGGTTGAGATGATGTAATGTAAGTGAACAAATTAAATAAGAGAGGATTTTGATTGGTTGAGATGAGGGAGTAGGTGGCGAAATAATTTGGGACAATCAGAATGCTCCTATAGTTTGAGACACAGGGAGAATTTACTAAGTGCTGAATTCTGAGAGAGAGAGAGTTTTGGTAGATTTGAGGGCAGAGGACCTTTGGTGGTTTTTCTTGGTTGCTCCCAGTGTTTAGTAGATTTGAGCTGGCATTCTTCGATTCAGTGTCTTCAGGAAAAGCTGCCCCATCATGTGCATTGAGAATCACACAATAGCAATGTTCGGGGTCTGACAAAACCTGCTCAAATTTAGATGGTCACTTTCATTCTATAATGACAAAAGCGATGCAATATCATAGATACATCCATATGAACAATATGCTAGAATACTGAGAAATGGGAACTTACAACAGCATCAAAAGTATCATCGAAGTCATCAACTGAGAAACAAATATTGGGATATGCAGGTACAGTTTCCACAGCCTGTCCAAAGATACAGGAATTTTTACTGAAACATCATCTCTTTCAAAAGAGAGACTGAAAATGCCAGGAAAAAGTACCTTTCTTCGATCAAGATGAAAATTTACACGGCTTGGGGATGCATACACAGTTTTTGTGACCTGTTTTAATAAGACAATGAGTTTAAGACATAATTACTTAATACCGAAAACATGTTAAACTTTAGCTAGGGTAACTAGTATTGCAACAATGAAATATAGAAGTCGAAGTTAAATAAAATGGACAGCTAGTCAGGCTCATTTCGACCCAAGAATAGGAAGAAAAGAAACCTTAGTTGTACACTTTAGAAATGATCTTAAACACACTGAGAAGTGCCTCAACAGAAGCATGTTCCAGTCTTGTTCACAATCTGGATTGTTTAGCCCCAAAACAGGCAAAAAACAAAATTTAAAGGAATTGTTAACATGGAGATTTGAACTGAAACCCCTTTGCCTTCTAACTGTAGGAAGGAATCAAGTGACCAGGCCTACTGTTGGGCTATAATACGCATAAGAAAAAATATTAGGTTATATTAGCTTGTAAACAACTCAAATAACTGTCAGTTTTCCAAATCAATTTGTTGAAAAAATTAAAATGTTGCCATCATCGAACAGTGTTCCTACAGGAAAACCAGCAAAATGGCCATGTGACCAGGTCTGGTTTAAAAGTGTTCTGCAATTGCTGTCCAGATCGACAGAAAATAAAGCAATAACGACTAGTTTCAAACTACAACATTTTGGGATATAGACCTCTAAGATGTTAGGCTTGAAACTTATATTAATTTTGTAGTTCTATTAACAAGTCTAAGACATCATGATATAACTGGATAAAGTCAGTTATAAGAAAATCCAATTTTCCACAAGCATCCATGATATAATGAAACTTCCTACAGTCATTGAACAGCAGAAATTGTGGAATGTTCTGAAACTATTAATCATAGTGAATTCTAAGTAGTCATTACACAAAGCTCAACCTTACACAACACAAGTCTGTGCACCTATGTAATAAGATTCACTGGTAAATGATGGAGTGCCGTGAAATGCTTACTTGTACAGTACCTTATAAACTGGTGATAATGGTTTGCTTTTCTCTACACGGCTGCGAAGATCCCTGACACTGTAGAGCAGATTGTAAGAAACTAACTTTGCCAGATATATCAACTAAGGAGGTAAAGATGATACAACAAGAGCTCTCAGGCTCAGGTTGCACAACAATAGTTATTGGTTGGAACCCAAACATCTGTGAGAACCACCACCCCCCCCCCCCCTTCTCCCTCCCTGTGATGCCAGGCCGAAGTCCAAAGTAATATTGAAAGATACAGTACATCAATCTAACTTGTTGCGAGTTAATGAACTAACCTAGACCAGTTCTCAGCTGCTACAAGAAACAGAAAATAGAAGCATACACCAAGTACAGACAACATGTGGCAACTGTGTTGCATTACAGTGAAGGAAGGATAAGAACTTAGACCAAAAGTACAGGTAACGTTTTACTCTGACAGATTGGGACCAGCAAGAGGATGTGCATCACCAAATAAACTTTTCATTGTTGACATAAATAACAGCATGCCAAAAACTTTTCATTGTTGACATAAATAACAGCATGCCAATCATTCAGTATAAATACTAGATAAAAACTTGCAATATCTTGACAGAACTGGCAGAAACGTACCTGCATATTGCAACTGTAACAGTGTATGATGTGTGAGCAATTAAATTCAAATAGAATGAACGCTCCCAATCAACTCCAGCTGAATTTATATTGCTGATCTTTTCAAGCTGCTCCACATAAAACAAAGGAGAACAAATAAAAAACCAAGAGTTAGTATGTATTATCAGAGACTTCTTTTCTGTAGAAAGTATGTTATGAACCAAACACTAGCTTATGGAAGTCAATTTACCATATTCAAGTCTATCAAATCGTGGCAACCATAAATACACTACAAAACTTACTAGTGCTAGTGCAAGGAATAATAAATGCTATAGATAGGGGAAAAAAACATGAGCGAAAAAATATGTAATAGTTGATGCAGTTCATCTTGATACAGTTTTAAAGTGAATAACTCAACAGGAAATTACAGAAAAAAATTCTAAAATGGAAGGAAAGAGTATGTCATATGAAAAGTTTCCTTGAAGCTACTACCAAAAAGGGAAGCATGCATTTATTAATATGATCGAAATTGACGAAGATAGTCTTGGTTAATTTACCATAGGAGCCCATCTTCTCACAAAAAAAGGAGGTGGATCTTCCATGTTATCGTTGAACCCATGGCCATGCATTTTCTGCACCAGCATTGAGCCTCAGTTAGCATACAAGATAACACTGTAAGCTAAAATAAGGGGAACTGAGAAGGATTGGAAGTTTACCATATTATTATTAACAAAAAAGACGAGGTCATCCTCTTCCCTCCTCTTTGAAACCCTACCACGCACGAAGAAAAGATCAAGCATTTCATGCCAGAATCGATCATCCATTCCCACGTCTGATGCATCATCTTCAGCATCAACAACTGTCCACCCAATCAAATGGGAATGTTTTTTCACCATAGTCAGCAGCTCATTCCTGAAAAGACAAAAAGAAACAAAAGGTTGAGAAGTGCTTAAAAGGATATAAGGACATATGCTTTTACAGAAAATGGAGATAGGCTCAAAACAAAATCGACCAGAATTGTTGGGTGGTATGTGGTACAGTGGAGGATTGAAGTAGTGTTTTTTTTTGTTGAAAAAAAAAAGAAAAGAAAAATATTTTTGAGCGGAAATGACAAGGGTGATCCTCTTAGTGATGTTTTCCTTAATTAGAAAGGGGATGAAGAGCACTTATGAAGCACAGAAGACAGGAGCAGGGTTTAAGCATGCAACCTGAGCTTAGTGTTGTGATGGGTTCAGTTGTAGTGCAGAATGCGAGTGGGGTGTTAGATTAAGAGTTGCAGAGATTAGTGTATGTCCAGGGTGTCTCCCCCCATGAATATGATGCCAGGCACGGGTAAACCTAGATAGAAAATCCAACGTTACGATGGGTACTAGCAATTCTTGTTTACATAATGCAATTCTTTTGAATGAATTGGGCAGAAATCTGAGGAGGTAGAGCTAGAGAAGTTGAAGTTTGTGCGGAACTAGTAGGAAAGAAGAAACAGTGAGATTGAAAAGAGTTAGTGGTTACTTGGGGCAAAGCTAGCTGAGAGAGAGAGATATAATAAGAAAATAAAATTAAATTTCCTTGGCGGGCGGGGGCGGGGGCGGGGGCGGGGGCGAGGGTTGGGGTCCAAAATTAGGATGGGGATAGAGATTACCTTGAGGGGGCCGACGACGACGAGGAGGAGGAGGAGGAGGGCTCCAAGCCGAACCCCGGTGATCTCTCGACTGCGACTGCGCGTGATGCGGAGGGCGAAGGAGGAGACGCCATAGATTTCCTCTCCTCTCGTCTCCACAGGTAGATAGATAGATAGAAGAAGAAAGAAGAAACAAAGTGATTCTGAATCGAAGAAGGAAGAAGGAAGCAATCAGATTCCCTTCTTCCTCCCGCAACGCAACGCAACATGACATGAGCAAGCAACTACTCCTCTCCTCCTAGAAGTAGAAGAGGGTGCACATGGGCTAGGCCCACCCGCACAGCTTGCCTAACCTTTTGGCCCATTTCACGAAATAAGTCCACTTGCCGTCCCATATGTTTATTATGTCTTTGAGTTTAACTGACATCCCTAAGCCGCAGTACCATTCACATTGCTCCTGCCTAGCTATGTGTGACACATTGGAGATTAGGTGCCACGTCTGTAGCTGGCGCTCCCCACCAGAAGCCCGCGCGTCCAAACAAGGGCACTCCTTCTTCAGCTAGCTTTGTCAGAAAAAGCAAGGAAACGAGCCTCGGAAAGCGGGTGCGACCGATCCAAAGCTACAACTCCTCTCCTCCGACTTCTCCGCCACCGCCGAGGCTGCCGCCACAGCTTACGTGGGCTTGGAGACAACGCCGCCTGGACCACCTCTCCGGTTAGATCCGCGCTCAACGAGATTGCCGCCGTTGCGTGGGCGCTGATAGTGAGGAAGATAAACGGGGGAGAAGGAGTCGACGGAGAGGGAGAGGTCACGCCGCGGAAGTCAATCCGGAGATGGTGAGGGAGGCGACGGAGAGGAAGAGGAGCCTCTCGAGATCCACAGCTCGATGGCGTCGTCGTCCGTGGCTCCACTCAGCGCAACCGTCGTCCGCGTCTTCCGACCCTGTCGAGGAGAAGTGGAGGCGTGGAGCCCCACCTAGCGCCGTCGCTACTTGGAACGTGTTAACAACCAAATTTAGTAATTTAAGTATCGGAGATGAAGATAAAATCGAAGCGGAATCCAAGAGATAGATCGTTCCGGAAATAGAGCAAGAATCGGCCGAAGTCCGAATCGGCTACGATCAGGATCGGCAGAGTTCGAGTCGGACAAGGTAGCCGATTGAGCCAATTCCGACAATGTAACTCGGTACACGTTGTCGGGTTGAGTTAATGTGCTTCATATGGATTGCCACGCATGGATTGGGTCCCGAAAAGGTAATCGTATCTATTAATTAGGATATTTTATGTAAACTCCTTAGAGATAAGTTTGGGCAAAAGTCTGCCGCAAAGACTTATGGTATATTAGAGTTTGTTAGAGATAAGAGTCGTGTCTGACAAGGAAATATTTTGTATCTCGGGTATAAATATGACCCGAACCCATGTAATCAAATAACAATCGTTCAATACAATCTCGGCGCATCGCCACCCTTTTACTTTCGACGAGTTCTAGCTTTCGGGTTGAACTGCATCAGTTTCAATCTTCAACTAGAGGTAAAGCTTGTTATGGCGCTTGCGTTCTCAGGATTAGTGCTTCCATCTTTATGACATTCTAATCCTGTTTATGTAAATCGTCGAGTTATCATATATCCTATATAATCTCTGGCAATATTGTTATTTAACTCTCAATCGGCTAATATCTATCACTGGAAGGCAGCCGATTAGGTTAAATACCAACGTTGACTTAGATTATATAGGGTATCCACCACCCTATGAAACATTCAACAGCTTGATTGTCTAGATATTGTATTTATTTTCATACTTATGGTTGTATCGGTTATGTTTGACCTCATAAGTCATGATTATAACCTCAATCTCTAGCCTGCTTCTTTGGTTGTCGATTAGGATAGTATCGGGGTTTCAGCCGATCTTACCTGATTTAGCTTTATGTTTTATATACTTAATAGACTAGCAAAAATGCCCGTGCGTTGCAACGGGTAAAAAAATTTTTAATAATAATACACGTTTTTCATGCATAATCATGTCAATGGTTTCCTACAAGTTTTGCCATCAGTGTTGTTTTCATGATAGGAGAATCTTAATACAAGGAAGGTTGTTAAATGATTTGTACCTGGAAGACTTTCTGATTTTTAGTACAGGACGACTGGAGGTTTTCTTCTTCGGATTAGTTGGCTTCGGAGGTCTTCCGGCCGCTCCTTTATTTCTGAGCTTTCCGGTATCATCGCCTTCGTCGTCACTTAGAACCAGCTTCCTCTTGCGAGAATCTGACTGGCCGGCTGGATCAGAAGCACTTGGTTGGGTTTCAGACCGAATTCTTGGTCCTCCGCTTCCCTGACCAGTTTGGCGGCGAGGTGATTGGTGCTGGGCGATTGGAGGATCTGACTTCATCAATGCGAACTCCTGAGCATAAACGTCAAGCAATTTAACAAGAGACGAAATCATGTTTTTGAGGAAGGTTGGAATACCGGTGGAGGAGGATTGAATGCATTGAACGGTACGACTGGCAACAAGTGTGAATAGCTGACGACGATAGCATTTGAGAAGATTTTATACATCCTTTCCTTCATGACCTTGAAGTCAAGAGAATCTGGATCTTCACGGTTTGGGTCGTGCTTGCCGTCAAATTCAAAGGCTGTGCGAGATCTCTCTTTGATTGGAGCTAACCGACACTTGATAAAGTGCCGGGTGATCTGTTCTCCTTGGAGGCCTTGTTCTTTTAGCTTTATCATCCTCTCCATCAGTTCCACTGCTTGCACAGCTTCATCTCCCATTGGCAGTGAGTTCCAAGTATCCCGATAAACTGGAGGAATACAAGAGTACTCGGGGAGAGCTAGTTCAGGGTTTTGAACATAAAACCAATTTGCGTGCCAGCCTTTGTTTGAGGTCTTAAAGGGCATGGAGAAGTATTTTTGACTTAGTGTTCCCCGAAGTTGGAAACCAACGCCCCCAACAACACATGGTTTGCTCTTGTTTGGCTGAGGCTTAAGGAAGAAAATGCGGCGGAACAAGGCAAAATGAGGCCTAATGCCCAGAAAAGCTTCGCAGGCATGAATAAAATTGGCAATATGCACTATGGAGTTTGGGTTCAGATGATGCAGGCTGATTCCATAGAAACTCAGGATTCCCCGAAAAAATCTTGAGGTTGGAAGGGAGAAACCGCCATAGAAGAAATGAGCAAATACCACGACTTCATGTGTATCGGGGGTCGGGAATGCTTCGCCGAATGCCGGTCGCCACCCGATGATCTCCTTCACCGGAAGAACGCCGTGCGCCACCATCTCCTTCAGATTATCTTCCGTCAAATCGGAGGGCACCCACTAACTCTCGAAGCTTTCTCTTTCTTCCGCCATGAATGTGAACTGGATGGTTTAATTCGGTCCGAGATATGGCTGGAAGGGGATGGGGAATTGGAGCGGTGGACGCGGGGAGAAATTTCGTGAAGTTTTTGAGGGTGGATTGGAGCGGATTGATGAACCCTAGTTTTGCCGGCGCAGTTTTGTACTATAGCAGAGAATGGGGAAAATGGCGAGAGTCTCGGCGGGGAAGACGAAGAGACGTTTTATTTTGGTATTATTAGGGTATCGGGAGTACTAATGGGCTTGGGCCTAAACATAGTACTTCAGCCCAATTTTATTTTCAGCGTGGCCCGTTGTGATCCCTAGGGACTTAGGCACTTTTTGCTTTGGCAATTTGTGCTCACAATGATGTGGCCCAATGCTGTTAAAATCCTTTTTAATGCGGTTTGATAATTCTTTGGAATTAACACGATGCAAACAAAAGGTGCCTGACAGGAAGGTGTTATACTATTTTTTGTAAGCCTTATTAGGCTGCTAAAGCTGTTTGGGTTGATTCGAGATGACTAATTTATTAAGAGTCATTCTCTTAGCATGTTATATGCTTAATTTGGTTATGATGAGAGTCATAGCTTAGGCTATTAGACTTGTTGATTACCATGATTTTTGTCATGTTTGGTGGATCATTTTAAGAGTTTCTTACTCAGATTCCTATCAAATATGCCTATTTCTGGACCTTTTGAGTGTTTGTCACTCGGGCCTTTTCATATTTTTATTCTCGATATATTAAAGCTAAAAAGCAGTCGGCTGGGTGTTTTACTGAATACCATGCGTGCTTTGCTATATAATGTTTGGTTTTAAAACCACTCGGTTCTTGACTATATGTTTAGTTTTTTTTAACTAACCACATAGTCGGGAGCTACACCTAATTAGGTGCATCTACTCGATGCACCATGTTTTATTTTCGCCCTTTACAGTCTTGGATTCTAGTACTCGGCAGGCTAAAGCAGGAAGAGTTGAAGCACTCGGATTATTGTTTTTTATTCTGAGATGGCTATTTTCGGCGACTGCAAAGGTCTCGGGGGCTACTGTGGAGATTATGGATACCCCATATCTACATGGCAGTTATATTCCAGCTGGATACAGGGTACTGAATATAGATAGAATATCTTTATGAGAACTCGGGTTAGATTATAAACTTGTGTGTCAAGGAAATACCCGGGATCCTACTCGGTTACGATTGTATTTTATCTGTAATCCCATATTCCGTTAGGATATGGACTGTATTTTGTAAAGCGGACCTCTTCCCCTATATAAGGAGGGGTCCGTGTGCCTCTTGGGGCGGGATCTTTTTTCCAGTTTATACAATCAATAATACACTCGGCGGAATCATCCCCGGACAGGAGTAGGGTATTACTTCTTAAATAAGAAGGCCTGAACCTGTATAAAATTCCTTGTCTCTAAACTCATCCACTTTCCTAGATTGATAGCCACCCCCTTTAATAACAATAACCTACCTTTAGCATATATTAAACCAAGGAGTATATGACAAACATGTATGGTGGATAATACTAGTTATAAATCTTGACCTCATATAATTATAGTTCAACTGTAAGTTAGGATTGTTCATTAAGGGATAATCTGTAACCATAATATGATTAACCTAAACAATTCTAACATACAAAGCATGGATAATTATTAACCTTTTCTAATTTATTGTGACAAGTAAAATATTTTCATAATTAAAGCAAAGCCTCCATCAATAAAATAATAATACAAATGGTTCCCTGCGATTAATTGCTTGATCCCAAATCCATCTAACAACAGAACCTCTGGTATGTAACCGTGCTATTTAGATAGATGCATATATAGCCATAATCCTTCCATAGCCATTTGATAGAATAAATCGCTGATTAGCCCACGTCTTTCGACGTATGCAGTTGTCATTTCGACAACACTCTGCTTGTCCTTTTTCTCAGTTTCAAAAGAATAGTCATGGATTATAGCATGGTGTGTAACAGCTTCCTTGCAAGTAGTAGTATCTGCGAACACCTCTCCTTCATCAATACATGGGTTATCAAAATCATATGCAAACACATGCTCAAGGTCAGAGTCATTGTCATCGTCATCATGTATTTGGTCATCAAGATCATCACAATCATATTCAGAGTCAGAGGAGGCTGCTGCATCACTATCATAGCTGCTATCACTATCAACCTCTAGTGGGTCACAATTTGGGCATAGCTGGGGCTCCTCCTCTTCGTTCTCTTCCTTCTCATCATCCCAAACCTCTTCATCATCGTCATCGTCTTGGCTCCTCCTCTTTGCACACTTTTTTACAACCTTCTTTGCACTCTTTTTAATAGGGGATGTGGCTTCATCATCAGGATGTGAAGTGCTCTCCGGATGGGTGGTGCTCTCATTTTGGGTGGATGGTACTGGTTGGATGGAGTTCTCAAGATGGTTGTAACTCTCAGGCAGTGTTAGTGGCGTAGCATCAACCAATAGGTCAGTAAATAGTGGTGGAGTACATGGAATAGAATACCTCACAGATGGGTGGCACCTTCTTTTAGTTGGTGAAGGTTCAACTTGCAATGGACCACCAAAATCATTGACAATGGCATGAATATTGACAACCCCGTGCTGATTACCCTTATCCAACCAATCTAGCAATTGTGAATCTGTGGTTATCTCTACTTTACTCTGAGTTGACACATCACCCAATTTCCAAAAGCCGATGTATTGATTTGGCCCCCAGTTAAAATTTTCCCCTACATCGTCAACTAGCGCAAGCATCGAATACCTATCCCTTTCGATAGAAATTTTGACATTGTTTCCCTTAACATATGTCCTTTGACCCAAAAGCGATGTGGTAAAATAAGACTCAACCTTAATAATGGCTGTCAAGAAGCCTTGGTCATTCCTACAGGATAAGCAAAACAATGGAGAAATATTCTAGCAGCTCAACGAGGAATAGATGAAAACCTACATCTAAATATACAGGGACTGAATAACTAATGCATGGAAGACCTATCTAACAGAAATATCATATGATTTTAAATGGATTGTACAGTATATGTGATTTAAGTGGGTTGACAAGTGATTTTACTCTTTGAGTAATTATTGGATGCTAACCGACTCAACCTTATTTGGGTGGTTCTATCATAACAATTCTGTACCTATTCCTCATAAATAAATTAAAGACTCATCTATCTGTATTCATGTTTGATTTACCTAATTATAAGGCTAACTTTATTATTTAAATAATCTATAAGTCATGGGGTTTAATTATACAACCATTTAATAGTACTAGTATCTTCCTATACATTAATTTGAGACATCATTTAAAATTAGTTTGTGTGGTTGTTACATTGACAAAGCATGTTAGAGACAAATATTCTTACATCTACCTTACTGTAAAGTACTAAACATATCCAGCTTAAACTACTTTTAACAAGGTTGTAAACATATGGCTACTTTCTTATATTACTTCATGCTACCATTGTTTGATGATTAATTTATTAAACTCACTATCTATTAATTCAAATCAGCACCTAAGGTAGAGAGGCCGTTGTTTAATTACAATGCACAACATATTCACACAAAGAGATATTGCTAATGCTTGATTATATCCTGAAGATACGCAAGCAAGATATGGTTAGCTATGCACATGCTAAGGTTGCATAGCAAACCAGCAAATTCGGACTCTTGAACCAGTTGAACAAGGATTAAAAATATTCAAAAAGAATTCCTCAAAACACACACATATATTGTTGGTAACATCCCTACACGATAGATAGAACAAGCAGGTCACAAGCATAAGTATAGATTATATACCTTTCCATGGTGGTCCTGCTACTACTGCCCACAGTAGCCACCATGCCGCTTGAAGCAGCTGACGCTGCAGCCTACCGTCGACGCCGACACCCGCTGCAGCCACGTGCCGCGGCCGCGCGCCGCAACTTGACGCCGCTCGACGGAGCCACCGCAAGCGTGGTAGCCGCGCCGTAGCCTGACGCCGCCCGCTGCAGGTGCCGCCCCAAGCCGCCGCAAGCACCGTAACCTGATGCCGCCCGCTGCAGCCGTCGCCCCAAGCTGTTGCTTGCCTTGCTCTACTCGCCGAAATCCATCTGCACCTCTTCCATTGGCATCTAATACTTCAAAGCTACCGATTTTTGGTTGATTTGCTCCTGATTTGAGAGAAGGGATGAGAGGATTTGGGGTTTAGGGTTCGTCGTGCGAGAGGAGAGGAGGAGTTCTGATGCGGTAGAGTTGGGGAAGAACACGGATAAGGTCGAATCTGGCAAGGGCAATATGGTCTTATCGCGTTGCCTTGTTTTTTAATTTAATTACATCAATTAATTTTGTCATCTTACTCATACGGAATGGAACGGTGATGGCATATGGAATCCACGCACACTGCTTTTGGTGGTATATTTGTAATTCGTGATTTTATAATGGTTATTTCGAGTTAAAGGAGTGAAAGTAGTGGCAAATATACAATTCTCCCTAACAAAAAATAACCTGACTAAGCGGAAATAGAAAGGGAGTAAGATCTGTTGTTTTTGTCACAAAGAAGAAACAATAAAACATTTATTTTTTTAATGTCGGCTAGCACGGTCGGTTTGGTCTCCAATCCAGATTGCTTCAAATATTTGTTCGCCTAGGAACGTGCCCCATATGTTTGGGCAATGGGTTTTACAACATACCAAAGAGTTTAGACCTTTAGTCTTACTAGGAGCGGCAATAACTTGCTAGGCAATTTGGCTCTCAAGGATTGATGTGGTTTTTGATAGAAAAATTGTTTTTTCTCCATTGCAGGTTATTTTATTGATTACACATTGGCTCCGATCATGGGTTATTCTCCAGAAACCCAATTTGCAGGACTTTGTCACTTCGGCTTGTCTACATTTGGAGCAAGTGGTCAAGGATTTTTTTTACCCCGGCATATGGGTGGCGACCTAGTTTTTGGGTTGTAGGGCCTTGATCTTGCACGCTGGTTTTTTTTCTCTTATTTTAAGTGTGTTGGAGTTTGTTGGCTGTGTGCACTGTCGTGGTGTAGAGGCCAGGAGTATCCTCAGAATGACCGAGATCCATTATCTAAAAAAAACCTATAATGAACTCACGAAGTATTGCACTTGGTGGATTGATGAACTCCCAGCTATGTTTTGGCCAACAGGATTACCTCGAGTCGAGCAACTAGTGAAACTCCTTTCTTCCTCGTGTTACAGAGCCGACGTGGTTCCTCCCCCTTTGATCTTCTACTCCGAGGGTGACCATGAATGGTTGAGGCATGGTAACATTAAATACCTTGAGAAACATTGACGTCGGACCACACTTCAGAGCCGCTAGATACCTGCAAAACCTAAGGCAGTACCATCAGTGTTATGTATGGTCCCGATCACTAAAGGTTGGGGATCTTGTACTCCATCACATTCTCCCATGCTCTAGAAGGGATAAACTCTCCCCCATGTTGGAGAGCCCCTTCAGTGTGATCGCGATCTCCCAAACAGGTGTGGTACGGTTGGCCACGGAAGATGGGACGCCCGCTCTCGAACGCCTAGAATATCGAACATCTACGAAAGTTTTACCCGTAAGTAAGTTTACATGTAAGAACTTTTGCTTGGGACAACTAGTTCACCTTTTCAAGTTGCCTAAGGCTCCCACCGTTGTATATATTAAACATGTGCAATTACCCATACATTTTTCTCAAAAAATTTCATGGCCTTGTTCACCTACTCGCTAGCATCTTTCACTACATGAACCGAAAATTCATCCTGTTCCTCCAGGCACAATCAGGTGATGATGGGATAGGATGTTTGGGAGTTCAAGATAACTTGGCGCTCAAGTGCCAGCTGGCGCGTGTTCAGTCGATGGGTAGGCCCTGAGCGTCACCGAGTTCCAAGGGTATCAGGTAATCCTTTCGAGCCCCTTTGAGGGATAATCAGGAGAGCCTAGGCCTTGGTAACGAGTTGTGTGCACTCAGACTGGTCAGCCCCCAGTCCCAAGCACCGCCAACACCTCGGGACCACAAGCTACCTGAGCTCCTACATGCGTCAAATGCCCTAAGTCACCTAAGAGGCCTTGGGTAGAATAGTGGTAAACTTTCAAAGTATCATGCTTGTCAACGGCATCCCATGATACAGTACTTTTTCTGTTTAAATATGTGCAGAGTCCTGGACACAAAGTCATTGAGACTCGGAAACTACCCGTCCCTTGAGTGCTCACATTTCTAGGTTAGGACTTGATAGTCTACCCTTACTAAAACGAGAAGATGCTGCAATGGGGCTCCCAGTCCCTCGAGTGTTTCGTGCTACTACCTAGCGAAGAAATTGGAGCAAGGTGGTCTCGGACACCCTTGATGTACCACCCTAGCCCCGTGGCCCCTGTCCCTCGTTGGGTCACCCCATCCTATTCCTACAATCCATCGCGTGGAGCGCTGCACCTTCCCTTGATTCGTCTCCCTCACCATCTCACGTACAGCCTCATCTCCTCCGCTTTAAGAAACTGATTATGTGTATCCATTGTGTGTTTTTAATTCATGGTTAAGGTTGAATAGGATATAACCATCCATACTTTAAGGATATGGTGGCATAGTTTATTTGATTGATTAAGTGGATATGGTCATTCAGTTTTTCGTTTGGTTAAAATGTTAGATGGATGAGCAATGAAAACAATAAACTATTAAGTAATAATTACATATGTAAATTATCACTAATCTTATCGTAAATTATACTGATTGATAATAAATAAACTAATTATATCTAATTAACATTGTTTTATAATTTAATTACTAACTAACACAGATGCATTAATTATCACTAATCAATTAATAACGATAAGATTAACCAATTTGACCGGATGCACCCGATATCTTCATAGAATATTCCCTCATCTACCCTTGCTCGCCAACCACACTCAAAAGTTAAATTGTCATATCCCATCCATGAATATATCCCTCTAACTAAACAAATACTCTCAAGCAAATCGTTGCCGCTATATATAAAAAAATTTACACAAATTATTTACCAAAAAATAAAATATGCAACTATAATATGATGCTTTTGTTCATGATCAATATTCCGTTGTAATCTACTTGTAGCTGGTTAGGATAATCGGCTCTCACCCGAGAGACCCGGGTTCGAGTCCCGGCAACGGAAATTTTTTTTGTTTCTTGTACCAAAATTTGCACCATACACATTAGGGCTATCAGATCAGAAGTAGAAGAGTGCTTATCTTTTATTTTCTTATACCAAAATTCTCACCACATACACAACTTTTTATCATAAGTACAAGAACTTTTTATCAGAAGTACAAGGGTGAAAAAAAAATGAATAACATGACTATGGATTAAAACCCATTATTATTTGTTTCCTCCTGTATATTCCACATTCTCTCGTGAAATTTGAAATATATTGGTATCTGCAATATACACAACAAAAAGTATACACATACCCTTGTGGAAGGGAAATCTCTTAAAAGGAACCTATTGAAGGACAAATTTGATCCAAATCGACCAAACAGGGGAGAACTCGAGCAGGAGCTCTGGTTTACCATGCGTAGCCAGGCTACCATTTTAATTCCATTGAAAGATCCACAGGTGGCCTAATCCAATAATAAAATGGAAGTTCAGGAGAATATCAAGCAGTCCAGCCTCATCGTCGTATCAAGCCAACCCGCCTGGAAAGAAATGTAAGTAAGATAAATGTTGAGATGAAATTTCCATTTGACCATATTATTTTCAACTAGAGATGCAGGCATATGAATAGTACTAGACTTTCTATATCAAAATCAAACCAAATGACTGAATAAGGTAGGTAACTCAACTCTGAGTCAGAAGGGTGAATGCCCTCAGATAACTTCAGAATAAAAACCAATTCAAGTGGCTAGAAGATCACTTAGCCCTCATCAGGAACAAGAAAGTTCCAAGAGCATGAGCTAGAACTGAGCTGCAGTCATTTGGAGCAGCAGCAAGCATGATCTCAATAAAAAATGCGTAGTGCACATTTGATCCCCCATGCCTCATAAATCAAACATGCTTGTATGTATAGATTAATTATAAAGACAAGAAGAAAGTATGGCAGCAATTCATCTTAGGCTCCACGGAATTTCTGGTCAGCAAGTTACCAATCTCAAATTTTATCACCATTGATGCAAGCTTCAACTCTAGTCATCTCATCTTGTGCTTGGCCAAAAAGGAAATTTGCACCAGGGCAACCAATATATATGATGTCTAGAGGAGCACACCACAATATGCTTTGGCTAACTTTCATCATTCCAGGTGGAGATTGATTGAACATTGCATGTAAATTTGACAAGCTTCAAAAAAGGCACTGAGATAACTACAGAATAATTGATAATTACAATTCAAAGAAATACAAAGTGAATAGGATATCAAAATTAAAACTTCTGCAGCGATTCTGTTTCCTAGAGCTAAACTTTTTTAAAAAATAAATGAATGTGTCAAAACGGAGTAATGCAAGAACTTTGAGAACCAAAATCAATGACCTAGTCAATAATCATTTATCCACAGCAAGATGCAGCATACCTGATAAACCGTGGTCTGCAGAGGAGCTTGGTCCAACTTGCAAGTCAAGCACACTGAACTATGAATTCTTTGTCCATAAGTTCATTTATATGCACTAATCATGCAGTTGACAGTTTTGATGCTATCCAACAGTAATGGAGCAGATTTGAACGAAATCATAATTCTTGTCATCTTTAAGTTCTGAGAATTCGATCCTTATCAACATCAACGAAAACGCAGAACAATGTTCTCTTTCCAAACAGCAGAACAGCAGTCAAGCATGGAATTGCAATCACTGAAACAGGATCGATCAAATCAAAGACCTGTTTCTCCGAGGCACACCCTAAAGAAAAACTCAAGTACCCTCAATACTACAAGGATCTCGAAGCATGTTGGGACTTGGCAATCTCCCTCAAAACTGCACCTACAATAGCAGCTTGCTCTAGACATTCAGATTTGTTTAAAGCATCTAAAAGACTAATGCATGACTTTATATTAATTCTGCAGCCCCGCAAACGAGTTTCTTCAAATACCTGATATGCCTCCATCGCTCTATTTGCATTGCTCATTCCCTCTATAAGAGCATTGAAACTTGCAGCGTCAGGAATTCCACCATTGGCCTTAAACCTCTCAAAGAGGCTGTAAGCATCCGTTATGTTTCCTACCTTTGCAAGCCCCGAGATCATGGTTGTGTAAGTGACCACATTAGGGACCAAGCCCTGTTTCTGCATATCTTGCCAGAACACAAAAGCTTTATTGTACTTCTGTACACGGCAAAGGCCGTTTATAAGAATGCTGTATGTATAAGTGTTTGGTGGGCATTTCATTTCCTTCATTGACTGGAAACAGACAAGCGCCTCATTTATTTCTTCAGCTTTCACTAAAGCATCCAAGAGGCTATTCCATGTGTACACATTTGGAGTCAAACCCTTCTTCATCATTTCTTCTAAAATTAAATAAGCTTCATCTATCCTACCAACCTTCCCAAAGCCATCTATGAGAGAGCTGTACAGAACAACATTCAATTCTATACCTTTCGACTTTGCTTCCTCAAAAAGCATGTAAGCCTCGTCCAACCTATCAATCTTTGCAAGACCATCAACAATTGCTCCATATGTAGCAACTGTAGGTTGTACACATTTTTCCTTCATCTCCTCAAGAATTTCATAGGCTTTGTGCACCTTCCCAGATTTGCAAAACCCATCGACAACAGCATTATAAGCACGAGCATCAAGAGCAAAACCTTGCTGCTTCATGGCATGAAAAATGTTTGATGTTTCTCTAGCCTGGCCAGCTTTTGTGAGACCATGAATCAGAATGGAATAACTTCGGACATCAGGAAGAAACCCATAACTCCTGATGTCCTCAAAAATCATTCTTCCCTTTTCAACCTCACCTGCCTTGAAAACACAATCCATATAAGTATTGAGAAGGGTTAGATCAGGCTTGCACCCTCGACGGATCAACTCTTTGAAGATTTTGTGCCCATCTTCTTTCCTTCCATGAATGAAGAAATTCCTAATCAAGGAGGTGTATACAACAGGATTAGCATTGTGCCCTGCATCCAGCATTTTCTCAAATAGCCTATAGGCCTCGTCAACCTGCCCTTTCTTTCCTAAACCATCAATAAGTGAACAGTATGTCACACAATCAGGATTGCAACCTCTCTGGCTTGCGCTTTCAAATATCTTATAGGCCTCCTCAAGCTTCCTTGCCTTGCACAGCCTATCCACCATTATATTCACAGTCAACAAGTTCGGAAACAAACTAGCATGCTCCATCTCATCAAGTATCCTATACGCCTCCTCAACCCTCCCACCCAAGCAAAGCATATCTATGATGATGTTATATGTTGAGGAATTCGGCTCTGCATCCTTCTTCATGACCTCAAACAAGCTTAGAGCCTCATCAACCTTCCTCTTCTTACCAAGGCAAGTGAGAATCGAATTAAATGACACAACAGATGGAATACAACCTCTCTCCCTCAACCTTTCAAGCAACTTATATGCATCCTCAAACCGCCCAGCAGATCCATATCCCATGATCATAGTGTTATACGCGTATGCGCAAGGCACAGATCTTTCGGCCTCCATCTGCGCAAACAGCTCCTCCGCCTCACCTAACCTTCCCGCCTTGCAGAGCACCCAAATCATGCTCGTGTACGACACATCATCCGGCTTCAGACCCTGCGCCTTCAGCTCATGGAAGAACTTCCATGCCATGTCCACATTGCCGGCCTTCCCGAAACAGTCGATGCACACGTTGTACAAGACAATGTCCGGCTCCAGGCAGCTCCCCTTCACCTCATCCACCAGCGCAAGAGCGTCGGCGACTTGGCCCTCCCGCGCCAGCGCCCGCACCAGCGTGGTGAACAGATGCACCCCGACCTCGTACCCGACCTCCTGCATCTGTCTCAGCAGCTCCAGCGCGCGCTCGGGCCGCCGCGCCTCGGCCAGCGCGCCGATCAGCACCGTGTACGCCGAGAACGCCGGGCGGAACTTGAGCCGCCGCATGACGGCGACGGCGAGGACGGCGTCGTCGAGGCGGCGGGCGCGGACGAGCGCGGCGGCGAGGTGGGCGCAGGCCTGGTTGGGGAGGCCGTACCCGAGGACGGCCATCTCCTCGAGGACCTTCTCGAGGGCGGCGAGGTCGTGGTGGAGGAACGGGAGGACGGCGTGGTAGGCGTCGGCGGGGAGGGGGTGCGGGGCCGAGGCGGAGGAGGAGGAGGCGAGGAGGAAGAACGGGGCGGCGAGGGATGGGTTCCTGATGGAGCGGAGGACGGAGATGACGACGTCGGCGGTGGGGGAGGCGGAGAAGGTGGAGGAGACGGCGCGGGCGAGGTCGGGGGTCCAGGTGGGGGCGGCGGAGAGGAGGCGGAGCAGCTCGCCGGCGGGGGAGCTCGGGGGTTGAGAGGGTGGGGAGCTAGAGGAGAGGTGGCGAGGCGTGGGCGTACGTAGGATGCTCAAGGGGGCGAGGAGCGGGCGGCGAGTCGCCGGCGTCCGCAGCGCCGCCGCCGCCATGGGGAGAGAGTGTGGTAAAACCCTAGCCGGGTTTGGGTAGTGGGGAAAAAGGTAATCCCGGGCTTTGCGTTTGGCTTAGCTTTGTGTTTTTTGGCAAAAAAAAAAAAATTTAGGTTTACTTGTAACATCGGATATACGAACATATATTTAAAATATTAAACATAATCTAATAAAAAAATAAATTAAATATTCTGCTTGAAAATTACGAGACGAATTTATTAAGCCTAATTAATCCGCCATTAGCAAATGTTTACTGTAGCATCACATTGTCAAATCATGGCGAAATTAGGTTTAAAAGATTCGTCTCGCAATTTGCATGGTTTTTTTTCTATATTTAATACTCTGACCAAGCTCTGCTGCCAAGAATGCGCCTAACCTGTAGCACCAGTCCAGTGTTCCTAACCACTTCATAAAAATCAATCGAGGAGTGTGACTCAAGGAGACTACTAGAAGATCTCGGGCATTGGCATAGAAAGGGTGATAATGGAGTCAAAGCACAAATATTTTGTCAAAAGAGCTAGGGAAGCCAATAATAGAGTTTATATACAGGATGATCAACAGTGGACCTAAGGCGTAGGGTAACCGAAGCGTGGGTTGGTACTCAAGTGTAGTAAACATGCACCGAATCTCAAGTATGAGAGGCTGGCAGTTGGTGGCATAACTCGGACTTGAGAATGTCAGTAGATGTGCTTGAGCGAATTGCGTACTAGATCAACGCCGCAACTCATGTGCAAGAAGGAGCGATGGTTCTTAATATTAGATATTTTTTTGGAACAACTTAAGTGTCATCTTCTCATATTTTTGTATTTTGAGCATGGTAAATAATAACTCATGTTTAATGTTTTTATAGTAGGTTGCTTAATAATAGCATAAACATGTATAAAACTAGTTGATACGCCATGCATGGTAGCAGGAAGTTTAGAAATACATCGAAGAAAACTCGAAGAAAACAAATCTATAAAAGTTGTATTTGCAAATCTATATTTTGAGCTGTGTGGTAGTTGATTTGGAATTGGAATTATATATGACATATGGATGTATGAAACATGAGAGGGGTCCAATGGATATTACTTTTTTAAGTGACATTGTTTAATACATATTGAGCTTTATTAGCAAATTGCAATAACTATAATAAGTGGATTATAAAAGCACATGACATATGGATGAATAAGATTAAAGCATGAGAGTGATCCAAATACCACTATTTTTTGAGGATTTAAAACACCAGTATAACTATCTGTCTTATCGGTTATCTGTACTGCGACTACGATCACAATTACAACCGTGCAATAGGTAAGTAGCATTCAATGAACTATAACAAAAGTATGGTCCAGTCGCAGCCTACGCAGTTGATTAGGGTCTATACGCATCGAAAATATTACTTTCGAACAAAGGTAAGCCTTACCGATTAATTCAATCCTATAAATTATATCCCAATTTATAATTCAAATACTCCTGTATATGACTACTTCCAGATAAGTTCCCTCCAGAAACATCAAAACAAAAATCAAAAATCACAAACCCAAACCCAAACCCACAAGAGGAGAAAAAGGTGAAGCAATCAGTATCCAGTACAATCACATCAACTAAACAACAGGACGAGAGAAGAAAAGCAACCAGAAAAGGCGGCCTCTGTACACCCACACTCCGCTCCCCTCCTGCTGCTACTCCAGTCCAGTCCAGTCCAGCGCACTCCTCACTCAACAACTCTCCCTCGATACTCTCCCCCCGCACCAAGAAACCACGGAATCCTCCTCCTCGATCCCTCCCAATCCCCAATCCCAGCATCCCCGAGATCCGCCTCCCAGCGCGATCCCAACCTCATGGCGTCGCCGCCGGGGAAGAAGGGGGAAGGCGGCGGCGATGGCGGCGGCGGGAAGGCGGAGTGGCTGATCTACGCGTTCGTGGCGCGCGGCACGGCGGTGCTGGCGGAGTACACCGAGTTCACCGGCAACTTCCCGGCGCTCGCGGCGCAGTGCCTGCAGCGGCTCCCCGCCTCGGGCGGCGGCGGCTCCGGCGGTGGCGCGCCGGCGCGGTTCAGCTACGCGTGCGACGGGCACACCTTCAACTTCCTCCTCCACCGCGGCTACGGTGAGACATTGCGGCGCGACGTGTCGGCCAATGCCTTTTGATCTGTCGCGGTTTGATCACCACTACTAGTAGTAGTGTTCTTTCAGTGAGTTCTTTAGCTGTTGCTAAGAATGTTTTAGGGGGTATAAAGTTTTGATCCTCATAGCTGCTGCATCTAAACCAGTTGTAGATCATAGCTGGGCATGCATACGATTAATCCGCTGCGGTAAATTCAATCAAAATCTTTATTAAGGTTGCAGACATGCCGGATCGAAACGAAACTATACGAGAAGAAAATAAAAAGGCATTTCTAGATTAACAAATTTAGGAAGCAATGTTAAGTATGCTACCATGCTCCAGAAGGAGATAGAATCCAACGTTTACTGTATTGTGGTATAGACGGAATCATGTTTGCAGATTAATTACCGAGAAAAGGGTGCATATGAAAAATAGCAGCAGCAATTAGTAATAGGGATGTGGATAAATGCCTCGAATTAGTGGGATGGAATGATATTGATTTCAATGTAATGTGGGCAATTTTCTCTTCGATTGTGCTGGCTTAGAGGGATATCCCTTCTTCCTATATAGTTGGTACCCACTAGAAGACTTATTGCTATAAAGCTTACACCACGTTGCGCCATGTCGTCCTTTTTTTCCTGAGCCGTTGGATTGTCTGCATGTCTCTGGGTCGACATTAGATCGACATTCAACAATATTGGGCCAGCCCACTCATGGGCCTCTGTATTAGTACAAGGAATTAACTAACTTGCCTCTCATAAACCAGACCATGAGACACTAACCCTGCTGTTGCAATACTGCTCTCTTGGTTACCAGTTACCACCATCATGATGTCCTTCTTCCTTGATATGATGGTCTCATGGATGTGAGGAGCCCTTTTTATTCTCACATTAACAAATAAAATGCCATCATCCTATTGCCACAAAAGGTTTACTTCTCAATTATCAACCATGTTTGTCCATAGTCTTGCATGGGCCATTTTATACTGAACTTTGTACTGTTATGTCTACATAGTATAATATCCAGATGTTGACATAGTCATGGTAACACTAACACCTTTTCCTATGCACATTTTGCAGCCTATTGTGTAGTTGCAAAGGAATCTGTCCCAAAGAATGTCTCGGTGGCTTTTCTAGAAAGGTTGAAAGATGACTTCATGAAGAGATATGGAGGTGGTAAAGCTGATACAGCTCTTGCAAAAAGTCTGAATAAAGAATACGGGTATGTCTGTTATAAGTACTTCAGAAAATTACAGAGAATGTAATTTTGCTTTTGTGCTGAAAATTTAGCATTCTTACTGCAGACCAGTTATAAAGCAGCACATGCAGTATGTTCTTGATCATTCAGAAGAAATAGAGAAGACATTGAAAGTGCAAGCCCAAGTTTCTGAAGTTAAAAATATCATGTTAGAAAACATAGAGAAGGTATACTTCATTCCTTCCCCTCGTCTTTGTACTCGAAGAGCATATGATGCTTGTGGCTTTGTGTTGTTTTGTTCATAAATTTGATTGGTAAACCATGAATTCCTAACACAATTATATGTTGAATTGCTTCTGGTTTAGATTACTCAGCGCTATCGCTATGTGAGTGTTATTAATACAGAAGACATCATCTCTGACAAAAAGTACATTTATCTTCAGTAAAAAGATCAAATTCAAACTTTTCATGCAGTCATACTACAGTTGAACTATTGGAGTGAATGCAAATTAAATTGTGCTAGGTGTGGTCCACATTTGCAGTTGGTTGCCCTCTGTTTTTTACCGAGTTAATCTTAATGGGCTTCCTCTTTAAAAAGGTCATGTAAGTAGTATTATGTTTGCAACTTTGCATCCTCTCTTGGACAAACTGAAGCATGCTCGTTCCGTTTCTTTGAGGTACACTTGCTCATGATTTACCAGCCAAAAGAAAAGTAATTTATGGTACAGTTTCATGCTAGTTGGATAGCAAGAGTACAAGACAACACACAACATTATGATAGCTATTACACTTGCTTTAGTTTCAAGTGTTGGAGATCTGGACATCAGGATAGCAAGGTGCCATCTGCCAAAGCTGATATTTACCCTTTTATAATCTTATATTAATTGCTCAAGCTGTGTGCTTTACATATTAAGAATTTTGTTTTGCTTGGTTCTATCTGAACGCAAGACCTGGAATGTAACAAATAGAAATGTCGCGTTCTTTTTTTTTTTTAATTTAAGAAAAGGGAACATTGTGGAATCATCAACGGTTTAGCAGTTTTGGTGATGCCTTGAATTAAGCTATCTTCATCCATTATTACAGTCTGTTCATTTATGCTTCTTTGTGGTATTTTCAGACTTTGGGTCGTGGAGAAAAACTGAGTGAACTTCAAGATAAGACTTCCGATCTACAAAGTCAGGTACTCAAGCCGTCTGTTCTATTTGCTGCTTTGCATAGATCCTATGGCATATACATAATCAATGTCCATTTCTTTTATGTAATTCAGGCCCAGGAATTCAAAAAGAAGGGAGTGAAAATTCGTAGGAAGACATGGTTGCAGAACATGAAAATCAAATTGGTGGTTCTTGGAATTCTTTTGCTTCTTGTAATAATCGTATGGGTGTCTGTTTGTCAAGGGTTTGACTGCACCAAGCACTGAAAGTAACTACTATCCTACTGTCGGTATAGCTCTGCTATATAATAGTTTGGAGACGTGAGATTGTGTCGGTGAAATCAAGTGCATTATTGACTCTTTGGCTTGATTTCTGCTGCACATTTATCGCGATACAAATGTAAAGTTGAGTTGGTGTCAAGTGTTATTCAAACCGTGTGACCAACATTACATAAAGTAGTAATAGTACGGTTGCTTGTCGATTGATCCTAATCATACCTACTTTTTTTTTGTTCCCCAAATCAAGAGATGAATATTATGTTGCAGTTAAGTGAATCATGGTAACCTCATTTGGTAGAAAAACTTTAAGATAAATTGTTGTTCGCTTGGTTCTTTGCCCTAAACCTAGTCAGAGAAGGTCTTGCTGTAGTTTCAGGATATAACATAAGACATGAGAGAGAAGAAACTTTGATAGAAGAGCAAATTTCAGAAAACGTCATGTATAACATAACAACGTTTAATTTTTGTTCTCACATAACCACAGGTGTTCCATCATACTCCCTCCGTCTTAAAATATACTAAATTTCCTACCACATTCTATACTTCCTCCGTCTTAAAATATACTAAAATTCCTACCACATTCTATTCAGGTTCTTATATTTTGGGACGTTAGGAGTATTAACAAATATCGCAGGTTTTAGTGACACGTGCATGTGACATGGCGCTCCACGTCACCTAAGCTCACCTGCCATGTTGTGGGGTCAAAAGGGCGGGATCGTACGGGGGATAGCATATGCACCAAACCGTGTGTTTTATTAATCAAGTTTGTTCATTTATTTAAGCCGAGTTTAGTTCCAAACTTTTTTTTTCAAACTTCTAACTTTTTCATCACATCAAAACTTTCTTACACTCGTAAGCTTCCAGCTTTTCCATCACATCGTTCCAATTTTAACTAGACAAGTTTTGTGAAATTTACTCTAGACAAAGTTTTAGTCTTTTTTAATAATGGAATGAAACATTCTGGCCTTTACTCAAAAGTTACAGCCAATTATTACAAAGTTTACACAAAAGTAAACTCACACAAGCAAGCTAATAAAAACCAAGCAAGGTAAAAACCCCACAACTATTGAATTCTAGTGGAGAATTCCCACTCGAAGTTGGTAAAGAGGTGCATGATCCTAGATACAATAGGATACAATGCTGGTACACCAACGAGCCTGCTCAATCTAGCTAACAAAAGAGTCACGTTATTATTAGCACCATAGCTTAAATAAATCTCTACTATTATAAAAATTGAAGATGTTTTTGCCGGTATTTTGGTATGTCATCCGTGTTTGAATCGATTTTAATTTTATGTTTCGGTTTTAATCTCTATCTCTCTACTTAAAGACCGAGAAATTTCTAGAGTCGGTAAAAAAAGGAAAAAAAAGCCCGAGTAAAAAAAAGGGAAAAAAAGCCCGAGTAAAAAAGAAAAAAAAGTCCGACTAAAAAGGTAAAAAAAGAAAAAAAAATGTACGACTCAAGAAGCGATAAAAAAGCTTCTGCCGTCAGTAAAAAAAATCGTCCGACTCCATGAAAAAGGGAAAAAAAAGTCTCGCCAGTAAAAAAAAAGTCAGTTTGGTTTCTTTTGGCATCGGTATTTTTCAGACCTTTTCTTTCACGTGAAAGAGCTTTTTTTTCGCACGCGCTATTGGTTTTTTTCTAGTTTTTTACATCCGATCTGTTCACTCGCCTCTCAGACCTTTTTCTTTGGTCAACTTTTTTGTCACCGGTTTTTTCTCCCGTGTGCTTTTGGTTTTTCTCATCCGGCTTTTTTAATCCAATCTATTCGCTGCACGTTTCCCGAGTTGAACCCTAGCGCCGCGCCGGCGCCATATCGATTGTGTGTTTTCTACTCTAATTTGATTGCAAAAAATCGATTCCCACTCCTTCCTTATCATTTTCTCCATGATTTTTCCAGCTTTATTTGGTCAAATTTAATCTAAATTTTGTCGATGATGATGACGATATTCCCTTATCGTTTTTATCTCGAGTTTTACGCTCTGATTTTGGAAAAAAAAGGAAAATAGGAGATCGAGTGGATCAAAAACCCTCAACCAATTTTGGGTGATCGAGAAAGATTCGGACCGATTTGATGGGTCAAATGAAGTAGGCCAAATGGAGGGAAGCAGGCCAAACGGAAGGAGGTAGCAAATTGGCTTAGGGTTAAAAAGGAAGGAAGGTTTTCGGCCCAAAACCCAGAAAATATTTTCATTAACTTGTTTAATTGTAATATATAGCGATCCCAATATTAAAATTTTCATTACCTTTTTTAATTATAATGATCCCAATATTTCAATTTATTGCTCAGCTGTTATTATATCATTGAAAAAACGTTTTTACCCGTTGCAACGCACGGGCAGTTTTTCTAGTTATTATAAATATTAAAGATGTTTTTGCCAGTACTTTGGTACGTCATTCGTGTAAATACAAAAGGAGTCGTATAAGAAATCTCTTTTAAAACAACTCGCTTGCTAACTTGAGATGATCGGACTCCTAATTATAACTTATGATTTTCTAGAAAAAAATATATATCCAAGAGAATTCTCAAAGTGAATTTCACTTTAACTAAACCGTATAATAATAAGATTCATATAGCCTTCACCCGTTACAATGCACAGACATTTTTTCTATTCCTCATATAATTAAAAGGTGTCCCCAACAGGGAAAGAAAGCCTTACGGACCAAACGGCATTACACAATGGACACAGTAAATCCTTCACCCTGCATCCAAAAGTTCAAAGGCATACAAATTTATCCTAAAACTTGTGGTGCAAAATAGAGCTAAAGGCGATTGTATTCTGCAAAATATATTAGGTGAAATGAAGTCAGGCTCACTCCAAACATTAACCATTTTTCTTGTCACATGCATATAAGAAAAGACATCGATTTTCATGAGATTGTTGGAAATTTAATTTAGGTTGTGCTTTTTTGTTTTATACTCCATCTGTTTCACAATCTATATACACATATATACACATATGTATATAGATTCATTAACATATATATAAATATGGACAAAGCTAGGAAGTCCTATATTATAAAACGGAGGAGAGGAAGTAGTTGTTAGCAGCTCAAGTTAAGCACTACTTAAAAAACGATTTTTCTATATGAGGACCCATATAGATTAAAAGCGGACCGTAACTAGTTAAAAAAAAGTAAAATAACTCGCCATTAATTTTTTGTCATACTAAAAGAGTAACTTGTGGAAACCTTCCTCTTGAGCAAGAATGACAAAACTTCTTAAAGCTAGTGCTTTAGCAATCTTCGGTGTGATGATGCCAGCAAAGGACTAGCCTGAATAAGAGAAGAGACTGTAGCATCCACATTAGCACAAACCAAACCAGACGTGCTGGAGCCCACAGCTTTTAAGTGTACTTGGGGATGCAAACCTTAATAGCTGGCTCGATTCCAAACAATGCATCACATCATATTTACATATGTGTATATCTTCTTAATTGTTGTCATTAGGTAAGCTTTACCTTCAAAGTTCCGGACACCATTGTTGGCTTCGTAGATATGCCAACGTACAATTGCCGCAACAACCGCTTGAGTATTATTGCATCTTTATAGAAGATAAAAAAAAGGCATTGCTTTAAGTTTCTAATGTGCTTTCAACGCAGTTGAATACCAAGATGATGCTTAATGGTGTCCAAACAATTGAGGCAAATTGGCACATCAAAGAACAATTCTCTACCCTCTTCATTCTACCAAAAAGACAACATAGGATACAAGTTGGAATATGTCTTCATTGCAGCTAGTATCCCGTTACAAGGCAATAATGCCAACCGAGACAGTGTGATCTTCATTTACTATCATTTGCCAAGTGTTTGCTGTCTACAAATTGTGGATGCTTTCACTGGTGGAGAACCAGTTTTTACTCCCGGTTGGTAACCCCTTTAGTCCCGGTTTTCCAACCAGGAGTAACAATCTGGGACTAAGTCCCGATTGAAATAACCGGGACTAAAGATCATCTTGGACTAAAGAGAGGGATCTTTAGTCCCGGTTGATGTTACTAACCGGGAGTAAAGAGGAATAGCGGCAGTACCAGATGGTCCCTTTTCTTTTTTTTCCTTTTTATTTTCTCCCGAATAAGTGGCATGCAAATCCCCAGATCAAACCCCAAAATCCTAAATCAAAGTAACATCCCAAATTCACAGCACCAAATTCACATCACAAATCTTTAAAGTTATTTATACACACAAATCAAATACATCATAAATCCTAAAAAAATACACACAAATCAAATACATCACATATCCTAAAAAATTACACACAAATCAAATACATCACAGATCCATACAATAAATCACAAATTTATACATATCAGTAATCACAAATTATATAAAAAAAACAAACAAAGCCGCTGCCGCTGCTGCCGGCCGTGGCCCCGCCGGCCGCCGGCCCGACGGATGGGAAGGGGAGGAGGAGGAAGGGGAGGAGGGGGAGGAGAGAAGGAAGGGGAGGAGGTGGAGGAGGGGACGAGGAAGAGAGGGTAGATATGATCTGTAGGAGTGGAGGAGGAGAAGGGGGAGAGATTCGATCTAGTTGCGATTGTGGAGGAGAGGATAAGTAATAGGGACTAAAGATCAAGATGATCTTTAGTGCCAGTTGGTAAAGTGGTGAATCCGAGACTAAAGATCATCGGCCTCCTGACATACATCTGACAGGGGCATAAAATGGCGGTAGGGTTTTCAACTGGGACTAAAGATCATTTTTAGTCCCGGTTCTTTTTGGAACCGGGACTATTGTGGTTTTGGGTCGACCCAACAAAGATCATTTCTCTACCAGTGTTTATTCATTACTAAAATACTGGATGTTTTTTTCACTATTTTGCAGCACACATAAAATCCTTTTCACTATTTTGTAGTACACATAAGATGTTGTGTACTAAACCATACAGCTATTTGATTCAGAAATGGAAGCAAACCAAGACAAATTATAAGCATAAAAGAAATATAGATAAATGGTTTTATTGAGCTCGGTTTTTCTTCTGGGTTGATTTTTGTGTAGAAACACTGGCTTTTTGGTGGGTGGATTTTTTTCAAGGCATGGTAAATTTTTTTAAGTAGGGGAAAGTCCTTTAAGTGGGGAGGACAACGACGACTCTGCTTTTATAGTAGAGAAAACCAGATTCAGCATAATGAAATTCATATTTGGTGATTCTTTGGTTAGGTCCTGAACTCCTGATACTACTTAGAATTGTAAGATACTCATGTATATGTATCACTATATTTAGTTATAAAAGCATCCATCAACATGCTTTTTTTTGCATCCTTTAGCC